TTCTGACACAAAGTCTCTGAGTGACCGAGGGAGTGACGGAAGCCTCCACAGAGGAAGCCAGGCTAGTGAGCTCGCTGGACATGTAGGCTCGATATTGCCTTTTTGAATAAACTGAACAGAAGTCCAGGGTGATCCAGATCTCCACATACATGACATTATCCTAGATTTACAAGCATTTCAGTGCCTCAAAAGTAGGTAAAGGGAGGGTTGGGGATGTGACTCAGTGGTAGAATGCTTGCCTAGCATACACAAGACTGTAGCTAGGCTCAGTCCTTAGTACTGAAAAAAAAAAAAAGCAGGAATGATAGGCAGTGCACACCTTTACACCCAGCAGAGCCAGAGCCACGTTGTCTCTAAAGTAAAATCAAAGTAACTTTTGTGTTTTTTAGAACTTTCTCAACAGGGACTGTGTAGTAAGCAATTACCACCTAGCGGGCAAACCACTGAATACAGAGTGAAATGGTTCTAGAGTTTACTCAGATCTATTAAGATATTAAAGGTGGTAGTGGTGCACGCCTTTAATCCCAGCACTCAGGAGGCAGAGCCAGACGGATCTCTGTGAGTTCCAGGACAGCCAGGGCTGTCACACAGAGAAACAAAAAGGTAGAAAATAAACCCCAACACTAGCACTTGCTGGGAAGGTGACTGGGAGTTGGGGGCTCGCTCGATACTTGTGGTCCCAGTGCTTCAATCCCATGAGCCTCTATTTCACATCTGTAAAATGTGTAAATGTCCGCAAGCAGTCTGTGACCACCTTTGTGGCACATGCCTGTAATCCTGAGGCTAAGAACCACAGGGAAGACCAGCTTCAACAAGATCTTAAATGTTTGCTCAGATGAAGGGCTCACTGTGGGTTTAACTCAGTGGGAGGGCGCTTGCCTAGCATGGGCGAAGCTCTGGGTTTAATGTCCAGCACCAAAGACAGTTATACTTTGTGACTGCAGTGGGTAGGACATGTTGAAAGGATGGACTGATGGCAACCTCAGCTGGTTAAGACTGAAAGGGCCAGGAAGTGTGCTTCCTTCGTTATAGAAAAGGGAGCTTGACTTAAGAGGTGTATCCACAGGAAAGCTGGACACAGAATCAGACCCTTGTAAGAACTGTGTCTTTTTAGTCCAAGTCTCTGGATGTTCTTTCCCCTAGGCTCCCATTGCTGTGCGACTGGGCAAAGTTGCCATCGACCGAGGAATGGAGGTAAGATTCTAGTGGTCAGGACTTGTATGCCAATGTCAGTCATTGGCTAGGATGTAGTAGATTCTTACCACGCAGCTGTCAAGAATTCAGAAATGGATTCTCTGAACACCCCTGGAGTCGGAGCCCTATGTGCATGCACCTCACTTCAGTGGGTGTTAGTATTGATTGTGTTCTGTCTCCATGGCTTCTGTATAGGTTCAGAAGGGCAAAACCACATGAAAGTGAACAGTAAGAAGGCAGGTTTCAGGACATTAGCTTACCTGTCAATTCTTCCCCTGCACACTGCACCAGACCTGAGATGCAGGGATGAAATATGTCCACTGCCTACATGGTATTAATGGTACTCTCCATAGGACAGCCAGTGTCTGGGACTGGCTCAGAGCTTGTTGGCTAGCATGAGGTCCTGACTTCAGTCCCCAACTATGAAAAGAATTACTGCTCACTTTGATATTTGAAAGGGTTTGTGAGTGTGTGTGTGTGTGTGTATGTGTGCCTTTAATCTTAGCACTCAGGAGGCAGAAGCAGGAGGATCTCAGAATTCAAGGCCAGTCTAGGCTATGCAGAAAAACCCATCTTGAAAACAACAAAGAATGTTTGCTAGAGCTGAGGCCAGTAATGTGGCCAGGTATGATGGTAACACCTATAATCCCAGGATTTAGAAAGCTGGGAATTTGAGGTCACCCTAAGCTACATAGTGAGACCCTACTTCACGGTAGCTCAATAGTAGAGCACTTGCCTCATGTGCCTGAAGCCCTGTGTTCATTCCTTGATGCAGTGTGTGTGTGTGTGTGTGTGTGTGTGCGTGTGTGTTCAATCCTCAGTGGTGTGGGGGGCAGGGGAAAGTAGGGGTAGGCTCCACAGAAAAGTTAAAATACAAGCAGAAACACGGGCATATAAATGGAGGATTGATTGACTGGGAATGGCAAGATGGCATCCTGGAAGGGAGGAGTCTCAATCCAAAGACCAAGTCTCTCCCCTGACTGCTGCATCCAGGACTTCAGTTAGATTAGCCCGATCTTCTAACGTGTCTCAGGCTTCTCCTCAGCAGATCAAACGCTTGCTTTGAACAGTGCTCGCTAGTGACTGCCAGGATCAACGACAGTGAGCATGAGGCCACAGAGGCTAGAGAATGTGCCAGTTCATAAAGACCAGAGCCTCACTCCGAAGTCCTGACCATAGGCATGGCTAGGCAGCCAGGAGGGAGACACTGGCTGAAACACGCAGAGGCTACCTCTACCTGGAAGCCACATTCCACACCCTCCTCCCTTCATCACTGCTGTGAAGTCCAAGCATCAGCTATGGAGCAGCAGTTATTTCTGCTCAGACTGGTAGAGACAGTAGGGTGGGCTGACTCTTTCCATGTGGATGGGGTTGGACAAAGTCATATTGAATCAGCGAGGACTTTTTTCCAGGTGGACATCGCATCAGGGATGGCCATTGAACACATGTGCTATGCCCAGGTACATAACTACTGTTGGTTTGTGATGCTTGTTGGGGGCTAAGCAAATATGGGGAGCCTCATGCAGTCTAACTATGCCAGTGCCTCCTAACTAACAGGTCTTCACCTCAAGACTCTTTTCCTCAATCATTTGATACCCAGAGAACCAGAACAAAAAGATACTTCACAAATAGAAAAAAATGACTTTTGCTGCCCAGTACCTTAGCCTCCATTGGGGGCTAAACTGGAGTTAGTATGCTAAAGCGTGGTTAGAACACACAGACAACCTTGTAGAGGGGCTATACACTTGATAGCATATTATTTTGATAACTTGTGAGAAGGGGGCGGGGAGCTATTCTCCATCATAACAAATAGACAAAAATCCTAAGCTTGTGAACAGAACCTATACCACCCTCACAGGCGCTCCAAATTCTCGATGCGGAGCCTATTCTAACTGAGCTCTGCAGAGGTCACCAATGACCGCACAGCTGCCAGAGGCTGGCCTTCCTGAGACAGCAGCCCTCGGGGCTCACAACTTTGCATAACCCAGAGTGCAGAGACAATGGAAACACTTGGACTCAGATGCTCACACAGGCTAGATCTACCTATACAATGGCCTTTTTATCCTCTGGTCCTGTTCTTTCCAAACTAATATCCATTGTATCTTTGCAGAACATCCCAACCCAGGACCGGCTGGAAGGGATGGCAGCCTTCAGGGAGAAACGCCCCCCGAAATTTGTCGGCAAGTGAGCCCTCTTGAGTTCACCTCTGGCCTTCAGTTTCTTCACGAGAACAATGACACTGTGATTGGCATGGTGCCTAGAACCAAGGTGCTGCCCCAGCCACCCATTGCCACCTTCCACACGATCCACAAGATCGCCTTGGCTCGTCACTGGGATCCAGGCCTTCTGGTTCTCTTCACTCAAATAAGCCTTGGGTCTTTGTCACTGGCTCTGATCACCATGGACCAGTGAGAAGTAAGCCCTCGTTTCTTCCTCACAGAAAAAAAATCTATAAAGGTTTATTGGAGCAAGTGTCAGGAGCCAGTCCACAGGCTCCAGCTCTCTACAGATAACTCAGTGGAAATTCTGGACAAACCATTTAACCTCTCTAGAACTCAGCTTTTTTATCTGGAAGTCAATCAGTTGTGATGACCTAAAATCCTTGTGTTCAATAAACATGCTACAACCATTAGCTTGTAATGAAATTGTGGGGACCAGTGGACTGTGCCTTCTGCAGACAGTAGAGTGGCGGCAGGAAGGCCTTTGGTAGTCTCCAGGAGACTGACGAACAGGGTTAGCAGCCTGAAAGAAGGGACGGGGAATCGGTGGGCAACAGAGGACTGGGTGCCTGGAGGGCAAGTGGCACTTAACTGGCATGAGCAAAGGAGAGCTAGAAGGTGCCACACTTGGAAAATAAAAGGTATTCAGGGCCAGCTCCTCACAGGCCCCTGCACACCCACTAAGTGCCCACCTCCTCTCCTCTTCTACCAAGGTTGCCAGAGCTGAGCTCTGGCTGAGCATCCTCAGCACAAGCTTGGTCTGGAGTCACTGAAGCATGGCTCAGGGTGCACACCAACGATACTGTTGGTTTGCTGCCAAAGCATATACCACGTCTATATCCCAGAAGGGAGAAAACCACAGGAGTTCAGGCCTTAGAATCAGCACCTTCCGCACCACCTTCCTGATCTTCCTTTGTCTCATCTGCTGAGTGAGGAGAGGGCTGCTGGGAAAGAAACCAAACTTGAAGGGCTGCCTGGTATAGAGAGCTGGACTGCACACCTTGCACACCTTCCCACTGGCAAAGGTTAGTTCCCAGGAACACCGTGTTCCCAGGGACTAGAACCCAGGTTCGGAAACTAAAACCTTTTTTTTTGGAATCACACAGCATGGTATGAGTGCAGTTTATGGACATGGTCCTAAGTTCTGCTTATCTGAGACAGTGGAGAGCAGAAGCAGCAAGGTGTACATAGCCAAGATTGGCTTGAACTTCAGATTTTTTCTGTCTCAGGGCTGGGGCTATAATTTAGAATGTGGTTTAGAATTGCTAAGAATGAGTTTCTTCCTCAACTGATGCTCAAAGAGGGCTTATGGTACTAATCCAGTTAAGAGTCTTGACCAAGGGGCTGGAGAGATGGCTCAGCAGTTAAGAGCACTGACTATTCTTCTAGAGGACCCAGGTTCAATTCCTAGCACCCACATGGCAGCTTACAACTGTCTATACCTCCTGTTCCAGGGAATCCAATACCCTCACACAGACATACCAATGTTCAGAAAATTTAAAAAAAAAAAAAAAAAAGAGGGTAAGCTCAAGTGGGTACAAGTGCTTCCTACTCTTGCAGAGCTTGGTTCTCAGCTCTCAGCTGACAACTGCCTATAACTCCAGCTGCTTTGGAATAATCCTTCTGTATACTGTGAATATGAATTACTCTCATTGGTTAATAAAGAAGCTGACTAGCCAATAGCTGAACAGGATAAAATTAGGTGGGAGAGCCAAAACTGAGAATGACAGGAAGAAGGGTGAAGTCTGGAGTCACCAACACAAGCAGAGGGAGCAGGAGATGAACATGCTATGCTAACAAGGGTACTACAACGTGGCAGAGTGTAAACAAGGAATATGGGTTAACTTAAAATGTAAGAGCTAGTCAGTGTCTGAGCTATTGGCCGAGCATTTGTAATTAATAAGTCACAGTGTTTTTATTTTTGTGGGATAGGAAAACTCCGCCTACATCCAGCTCCAATCCCAATAACCTCTTCTGGCCTCTATAGGCCCTCACTCACATGCATGCATGGACACGGACGGACACGGACGGGGACACACACGGACACACACACACACACACACACACACACACACACACACACACACACACACATTCAAGCATAGTAAGACCTTCAGTCAGGACCAAGCCTCAACCCCATACATTCACACATACTCAATGGTCTGATTCCTCCAATTGGAGGAAAAGGGGGAAAGAAAACCAAAACTGTCAGGGTGTGGTGGCTCATGCTTACAACCAACCCCAGTACTGAAGCAATAGGATTGCTGCGCTCAAGGCTAGTCTAGGCTACATAGTGAAACCTGTCTTGTTTTTTCCCCTTCTACCTCTCAATTTGGTATAAACAAGCAAACAGCAGTAACAACTGTTCCTCCCTGCAGCAGTGATCACCTTCCTATCATAACCTGGAGCCACCGAGGGACTGTAACAACACCAAGTCTCCCTCAAGTCTTTGCTCCCCGTTCTGTAGGAATAGGACCCGGCCTTTTTGTAACAGAAAAAAAAAAACAAACAAAACCCACCAAGGACAGTCAATTGATAAACACCAACAACTGGTTTCAAAATTCCATGACCCAAAGGCTTCGCCCTGTCCTTAAGCAGCACCCCTCAAAGGCCCCTGGGTCAGAAAGAGCACTGGGGCTGTGGGGGTCTCTGGTAGCTTGTGAAGTACATCCTGAAGTCCTCTAGGATGGAGGCCGCCATCTGCCTCACCTGGGCATTGGCCTGACCACGCTCCTGGATATCACACACGAGCTGCAGTCCTCCTTCTTCTACCAACAGTTGGCAGTATTTGCTAGCTAAAAGAAAAACAAAGACACTCCATGGACAACTGGCATTTTAAATGTTCCCAGTTCACCACATTCACATGAAAGACACAGTGAAAAGATTAAAGTCTTCGTGGGCCCGGGAATTGAAAGAGGTTAAAAAAATGATATGGTGACACCACAGATGGTCATTGTAGTGTGTGTGTGTGTGTGTGTGTGTGTGTGTGTGTGTTTTTCTAGACAACTCCATGCTTCAAAATACCTTTAGGTCTATCTTTTGGAAAAGAGCACAGCAGAGCTGGAGAAATGGCTCAGCAGTTTTAACAGCGCTTACTTCTTTTGCTGGCTCCTCGTAGCCCCAAAGAAAACTCCAATTCCCCAAACTCCAAAGAGCAGTCATTGAGCTTTGCCTGGACTATAGGAGATTTTATGGTGGTTAGATAAAAGCCAGCATTCCTCAGGAACTTGTGAAACTGGTTCCCATCCACTAAAATGTCTCTTACCTTTGGCAGAAGGGACATATGGCTACCGGTGGTGCCTATTAGCATATCAAAGCTCATGCTGGCCTCCAAGGCTCCCTCAGTATCAAAAGTAACTGTTAACTGTCGCAAAAAAACTTATCTCCTTTCCTACAGTGAATTCCCTCCAGCTCCAGGGCTTCCCTCCCTGCAGATACCCATTCTCCTTACAGCCCTGTTACTCAATGTTTGCATATCCATGCCTGTGCCCTCTCTGCTTCTCTAATCTCAGTCCCCTGCTAGTCTCCCCTCTCTCGCAGATGGCCCTGGCCATGTCCGGTCTGCTGGCCATCTTCAGTCTACTTTTTCTGCTCAGGACTCTTGCAGATGCCTCTGGCTGTTCTCTTTCTCTTATCTACAATAAAAATCCTTCCCCTTAACTATACGATGGAGTGGTCATGTCATCTGTTTATCCAGTTCCTAACACCCACATGGCAGTCCACAACCACTTGGAATTCTGGTTTCAGGGATTCCAACACCCTCTTTTCTGGCCTCCATAGGGTCCTGCATGCACTGTATGTACACACACATGCACATAAAGATTCTAAATGTCCGGTTGAATGGATAAAGTGAAGGAAGGATCTTGGAGCGAGAATAAGGAAGAGAAGCTCTTGGGGCTGAAGAGGTGGCTCAGAATCTAAGAGCACTGGACTGCTCTTCCACAGGGCTTGTCTAGAATTCCAGTGCCAGGGCATGATACCTTCTTCCAGCATTTATAGGCACTGCACATACATGGCAAACAGTCACACATGCAGGCAAAAACACCTATACGCATAAAATAAAAACATATCCAGGCATGGTAGTACACACCTTTTGTACATAGCAAGTTCCAGGACATTCAGGGCTACCTAGAGAGACCCTGTCTCAAACAACACATATTAGAGTATTAGTGATAAGTGACTAAGGAAAAGCAAGCTATAGGATTGCATGCACAGAAAGAGGCCAGTTCTGTTTGGCGCCTAGCATGTTCAAGGCCGAGTCCAACCCTCAGCACCTGAAGACAAAAAAGGAAGAGCAGCATTAGCTCACAGTACTGACCTGTGAGGAGCAGGAACAGGATGTCTCTGCTGCTAGACATCCACTTCCAGATGTGCTTGTAATTCTGTAGCTTTTTAAAAAAACTGTAAGACATTTCCACTTTCCTTTTAGCAATGGTTAAACGGAGCAGACATGGGTGAATAATCTTTTTTATTTTATTTAATAATTTTAGGCTTAATTTAAAAATTTTAACAATTTGTGTATGCATGTAAGTACCTATGCAGGCCAGAAAAGGGTGACAGATCCCCTGTAGATGGAATTAGATGGTATGTCACCTGAAGGTGAGTGCAAGGAACCAAACCTGGGTTCTCTGGAAGAGAACTAAGTATTCGTAACCACTGAGTCATCTCTCTAGCCCAGTGGTTCTCAACTTTCCTAATGCTGCGACCCTTTAACACAGTTCTCATGTTGTGGTAACCTCCAACTGTAAAATTATTTTCACTGCTACTTCATAACTGTAATTTTGCTACTGTTATGAATTGTAATGTAAACATCTAATATGAAGGAATATCTGATATGCAGCCTGTGTGAAAGAGTCATTCAACCGGGCAGGGGTGGCGCATGCCTTTAATCCCAGTACTCGGCAGGCAGAGGCAGGTGGATCTCTGTGAGTTCGAGGCCAGCGTGGGCTACAGAGTGAGTTCCAGGAAAGGTGCAAAGCTACACAAAGAAACCCTGTCTGGGGGCGGGGGGAGGGTCATTCAACCCCCATAGGGGTCGTTACTCACAGGTTGAGAAGTGCTGCTGTAGCCCCGTTAGTATTTTTGTTTGTAGGTGCGTGTCTGTGTGTGTGTGTGTGTGTGTGTGTGTGTGTGTGTGTGTGTGTGTGTGTATGTATGCGCACGTGCAGTCCAACACTCCATGGCATATGTGTGGAGTTTTAATGAGAATGGCCATCATAGGCACTTATGTTTGAATGCCTGGTTCCCAGTTAGTGGAACTGTTTGGGAAGTATTAGGAGGTGTGGCCTTGTGGGTGTGACTTTGGAGGGGGTGTGTCATTGGGGATGGGCTTTAAGGTTTCAAAAGCCCATGAGAGGTCCAGTCTCTGCCTGTTCCCATGGATCAGGATGTACAGCTTTCACCTGCTGCTCCATCTGCACACCTGTCTGCTTTCTGCCATGATGATACAGACTAACCCTCTAAAACCGCCATCGAGTCCCCAGTGAAAGGCTTTCTTTTATAAGAGTTGCTGTGGTCATGATGTCTCCTCACAGCAACAGAACACTGACAAGACAGACAGGTTCTGGAGATCCAACTCAGGTTGTCAGGCTTGTGCAGCAAATGCTTATACCCACTGAGTCAGCTCCCTTGACCCAGGAGAACATTTTCTTTTTGTTGTTGTTGTTTTTTGAGACAGGGTTTCTTTGTGTAGTCCTGGCTTTCCTAGAACTCACTCTGTAGACCAGGCTGGCCTAGAATGCAGAGATACACCTGCCTCTGCCTCCCAAGTGCTAGGATTAAATGCACCACCACTGCCCAGCTTTTACAGTTTTTGTTTGGTTTTGTTCTGTAGAACATTTTCCTAAAATCAATTCTAAACTCAATCATTACTCAGGATATTAGCTGGAAGACATCTGCTCTGAGTGCACATTGAATACCTACGGTTTTTACTGCAGACATGATGCACGGCCCATAGTGCCCAGAGCTGAACTTCTGGCTGGGAGAAGTTGCCAAGGAGTGGGGAAAATGCTTTGAAAGATCTAAAAAGATACAGAGATGTCAATTTAGAGCTCTCCGGTATAAGATTTTTCCGTATTCCCCCTACAGAGCCTGTTCTTCATGGAGACAGATGTATTATGCAGTCTGTATTTGGGAGGGGGGTCATTTAAGAAACAGCATTTCATATGACACTACACATTCACTGTCTCATTTTATATGAATGACTGCACACTGCCAGTCTCTTCATGAGGGAAACTTAGTCTTAAAGCTTTTCTTAGAATTTACCAAGAGGAATCACAGGATCTGAACATGAGGCTACTTGACACAACACTTTATCTCTGCAGACTACACAAGAGGCAAGACTGGGGGCTGCAATACTTTCAGATTACCTGTAGGTCACCAGTGCTGACATCTTACACCGTGAACTTGGCCAATTCTCGATGGTTACACGCTGCACTCCAAAAGAGAGGAGAAACCCAGAGTGTTATGTTCCATTGTTTAATTCTATTATTTAAAAATTACCACAATAGGCTGCTATTTCACATATTACTTATACATATTTGAAACAATTTTTTTAATATGAGGCTGATTTTAAAATCTTAGATATACCTGTTGCCAGATCAACTAGATAACCACTATGTGTAAAATTTATGAACAACTTCCTATGGAAACCACTGCAGTGGAAGGCTGGGGGTGTGAGAGCTCGGGGCAGAGTGCTTCCCCAGCTTGTGAAGCCTTGCGGACTCAGTGCCCAGTCCAGTGAGAAGTAAGGGGACAGCGACATTACTCGGTGGTGAAGCATTTGTTGCTTTTGAATCCAGAACCCACACGGTGGCTCTCAACCATCTGAAACTCCAGTTCCAGGGGATCCGCACCCTCTTCTGGCCTCCACAGGCACCAGACACATATGTGGTGCACAGACAGACAGACAAGCAAATACTCATACACATACAATTAAAATAAACTTTAAAAAGCCATGCTGGAGAAATGAGCACTGACTGCTCTTGCAGAGGCCCAGCACCCACAGGGTGGCTCACAACTGTCTGTAACTCCAGTCCCAGGAGATACGATGTCCTCTTCCGACCTTCACAGGCACTGCACACATGGTGCAGAGACACACACAGGCAAAGTATCTGTACATACAAAATGAAAGTAAAGCGACCAACATTTTTTTCAAACAAAGCAAAGACCTCTTTTTAAGATAGTAGATTGAGTGTGAATTTATCTATACACTTTCTTTAATTCTTATATTAACAGAATGGTAAATCTGTTTTGCTTTTTTTAAACAAAAGACCCATCCTTTCTTCTTGCAAAAGATGAACAGAAAGTTACTACATTTCACCAGGACATTTACAAAAAGCTATCTTCACTGCAAGAAGAAACTGACAAAATAAATGTCCACAGGGTTTAAAATAGAAGCAAACAGAAAACAAAGCAGATTGAGGAATAATTGGTTTAACAGATGTAGCACTGGGTCAAGTTAAAAATATGAGTGAATGGGCAGTGGTGGTGCACGCCTGTGATCCCAGCATTCAGGAAGCAGGTGGATCTCTTGAGTTCCAGCCTAGCCTGGTCTACAAAGTGAGTTCCAGGACAGCCAGGGCTACACAGAGAAACCCTGTCATAAAAAAGAAAACAAACAAACAAACAAACAAACAAAAAATAACAAAAAGAATGGAACTCCTGAGGGAAAAACTCTGGCATACCAGGTACTTTCTGGAATGAATTAGAGGTGCGATTGAAAACAGAAGGCTGGCAGGGCCAGGCCAGTACCTACAGTCCCAGCACTGGGAAGGGTAGGGAAGAGGACTGCCAGGAATTCCAGGTCAGTCTGGGCTACAGAGTGAGGCCTTGCCTGGACAAACACAACAAAAACACCAGCAATCTGGCTGAAAAGACTAAATGACTGACCTAGATTTCTGCTAACCCGATGGGCAACCTGAAGAACAATTAAGGGCAGGACACCATACTAAACAGGACCTCTAAAGACTTCATGGTGAGGCAGCCCTGTCCCTGCTTTCCTCCTCCCCTGGGCTTTCTGTGCATTTCTGTGCTGTTTCCATGGAAACAGCAGATTCTTCTTTGGGTAAGCTCCACCTAATCCAGAGCTCTCCAACCTGAACCCAAGCAGATAAATTCCACTCATTACCCATCTCACTGGCTCCAAGGAAAACTTGAAAATACAAAACTTTAGGGGCTAGAAAAATGGCTCAGCAGTTAAAAGAGCACTTGCTGCTTTTGTAGAGGACCCAAGATTGGTTCCCAGCACCACTCTGGGCAGCTTACATCTGCCTGCAACTCCAGCACTCAGAGATCCAGTGCGTTTTTCTGGCTGTCCCAAGCACTTGTGTGCAGGCAGTATTCATACACACATACACACCATTAAAAACAAATACAAAACCCTGAAACTACTGTTAGAGCTAGGCACAGTCGCCCACACTGGCAATCCAAAAGTCCAGTGAATCTGAGGCAGGAGAATCACCATGAATTTAAGCAGAGTCTGAGCTACACAGAGACTCATTTCAAAAACAAACAACAAAGTCCAAACAGACAAAAAACATTAAGAAACTATCACTAATGACATTTAATGAGATGAGTGGCAACATTCAACAGACGAAGAATCGATCTTGTTAAGAATAATTCCCGTACCAAGTTCTGGAGAAGATCACTCCTCTGCAGGCCACGGGATAGCCAATGCTGTTTGTCACACGTCAGATGGGCGATCACGCCCGCAGCAAAGTAGCTCACTTCTATATTGGTGCTGCGGAGCAGGCTGACGAGATGTCTCAACAGATCTTCTTGAGAGACCAGCTTGGGAGAGAGCCCTCTGACTTCAGCTATGTTGTTCTACAGGGCAGCGGAACACAGCAGGGCAGGAAGGGAGAAAGGATCAGGAGCCAGCACCCTCCCGACGGCTCCCTCGAGACTCGGTCCCAGAACTTACTCTGGCCCCCTCCCTCCGAACTTGGCCTATGACCCAAATCCCATGCCGTCATGAAGAACATGATCTTTAACAGCAAAGAACCAAGTAAAGCACCTACTAAGTGCTGGGCACAATGCGAGAGAAAAACAGCTTTATCGGTATTCTCTCTCAGTTAATGTTTAATCCTGCAAAGAAACCTGGCACTCAGTGGGACCATCTTGTTGGGCTGGTGCTGCCAGTAACTGAACTCGGAGTTTGACTCCCGGTCTAACACAAGTACTATCGTGAAATTTAAAAAGGAACACTGTCCTGCTGTTGTTTTTTAACATACTACATTCGTTTTCTATGCTGTGTAATAAATTTCCACAAACTTACTGGCTTAAAATGACACGCATTTACTACCTCACAGCTGCTGTGAGGCAAGAGACAGGGCATGACTTAGCTCCGCCTCTACAATGAGGTCTCACAGGGTCTCAACCTCATCCAGAGGCTCCAGTGAGCAAATCTTCTTCCAGCCTCACTCAGAATTCATTTCCTGTGGCTGCAGAACTAAGATTTCAGTTTCTTGTTCAACTCTTAAAGGATGTCCAAAGTCCCTTGAACTGTGGATGTCCCTCTTTTCCAGCCAGGCGCTCACTGACATTCTGAGGCAGTGGAAGCTTTTTGTATGTATATGTTACTTCTGTAAAGTAACTAACACCCTATCAAAGTAGCCACACTCTGCTGGAGAGGTTTGCAAGAAGACAAGGAGCCCTGGGACGCCTCACTCATCAGGAGTCCCCTTTGAATTTGACAGCACAAAGGCTTGAAGGGGTGAAACAATAGCTGTGCAAGAGCAGAGTGAGGTTAACACTTCAGCTTCTGCAGCCCTCAGGTCCAGACACTAGTATGTGCAAAGGAATCACAGCTGAAAAGTCTGAGGCAGCAACTGCCCTGGTTTTGAGATACGGATTAGTCAAGCCTTCCTCAACCAGCTAGACCCCTGCTAATAAACACTATTTCAGTATCAAGCTTATATGACATTAGTCCCCAACAAAGAGACACAAGTTACCATTAGCATAACTCTGGGTATCAAAAGTCGTTGTGAGTCTTTAGCAGTCTACCAGGCTCCCAGACGGACTAAAAGCATCTGTTAGACCTGCAGGTAGGATGTTTCTCATCTAAGATATACAAGGCTTCCATTCAACTCTTCAGGATTATTTTCTACTGCTCTTCTCTTTTTCACCCTTTCTCCAAATTCCAACTCTTCTGGAAACAAGTTTCTAAACTGTGGGATATCGTGGTCAAGAGGCAGTATAGACATAGGAATTGAGAAGCTTCTGGAAAACTAACTGCCTGGAATTACAGGTAAGTGGTTCCTATTGGAGGGTCTGGAGCCTGGCTGAGTTTGTGTGTTCATCCTACCTCTTATCAACTAGGTGAGACAAACGGGTCCCTCCTGTACACTGTGGATAGAGTGCAATTAGAACACACAATCTTGCTTACCCTTGACATAATTTTTCCTGATATTCCTTAGCAATGGGACTCTGCTGCTCCTCTCATGGAAGCATATCCGCTGCCCTCAATCTCAGCATTGCCTGATATTAGCAGAGCTAGGAAAGTTCTGGTAGATGGGGACTCTCAGACTGCTGTGAGACATAAGACTCAGCAGACCACCAGTGCCAACTCTGACACCAGGGTCAGATCATCCTAGATTATTCAGCCTGCAGCTACAGGAATCTCTCCCTCAAAACAACAGAACTGTAGCATGAGCTGAGCTCAAACTATGGGCGCATTGGTTCTTATAGGGAGAGGTATACATGTTTATGTGTGTTATATCTGTGTAGTGCACATACGTGTGGAAGCCAGAGGTCAACATCTGGTGTCTTCTTCAATCACTCTTTTCCTAACTTATTCAGACAAGAGCCTTCACTGAACCTAAGACACAAACATTTGGCTAGACCAGCTGTGAGCCCCAGGAATCCTCTTGTCTCTGTATCCTCAGTGCTGGGATTACAGTCATGCACCACCACATCCAGCTTTATACGTGGGTGCTGGGGATCCAAATTCAGGTTCCCAGGCTTGCACGACATGCACTCTACCAACTAAGCTGTTTCCCAATCTCTCTTGTTTGGTTGGTTTTAATTTTTGAGTCAGGATCTTCCTATGTAGCCTCGCCTGGCCTCAAACTTGTTAGCCTCCCTGGAGCTGGGATTACAGGCACGGCACAACACACACCATCTACGGGGTTTTCAGTAAATAAGATAGCTACTATATTTTTTTTAACTTTTATTTTAATTTTGTGTGTGTCTGTGCACCATGTGCATGCAGTGCTCACAGAGGCCAGAAGAGGGCACTGGATCCCCTAGGACTGGAGTTACAGATGCTCGTGAGCTGCCATGTGGGTGCTGGGAATTGAACCCAGGTCCTCTAGGAGAACCATCAGTACTCTTCATCACTGAGCCATCTCCCCAGCCCCAGACTGCTGTTATTTTAAGCCACTAAGCTGTGGGTTATTCGCAGCATCAGATGATTACTGTACAAGGATTATCTGCTTGCTCAGAATATAATGATTAACTGAATCTAAACTGACTACAGCAGTGCCCAACACAAAGTAGGTGCTATGTAAGGATTAGTTTTAATTAAAATCAATTCAAACAAGTCACCTTACCAAAAGGCCAAGCACTCTGCTTTGTATCACGGACACGGAGAACGTCTGTCAAGAGAACGCACGGGTTACTACAGCACGGAGAAAAGAACTTTCGATCTAAACGCAGTCCCACCTTCCCACCTCTAAGACTTGGATGATGACGGCCAATCCTTCATTCTCAATAAAGTACTTGCAGGCCGATGGACACTCATCTGTAAGATTCCAAAGTGCTTTCAGAGTAAACAAGAAGGTGACATCATCTAAATTCTCAGCCGTCTTTTGTCTGACTATTGTTACAAGTTCCTAAAAACCAAAGAGACAGAGAGTTAAATGACCTCATGATCAACTCACTCCTATATATATATAAAGGGAAGAGGATCCCTAAAAGTGGGGGCTAGGGATATGGCTGGGTTGATAGAGTATTTGTAGCATGCATGAAGTCCTTCAGTCCAGCTCCAGCCTGGCTACAAACACCTGTGCCACACATACAAAAAAAAATTGTTTTTGTTTTGAGACACGGTCTCACTTGGTAGCCCTGGCTGTCCTGGAACTCACTATGTAGACCAGGATGGCCTTAAACTCACAAAGAACACCCTGCCTCTGCTTACCAGTGCTGGATTACATGCCTATACCAGCATGCCTGGCTACCTCAATAAGAGTACTTCTTAAGCATGGTGGCGTATGACTTTGATCCCAGCAAAGACAGGTAGATCTCTGAGTTTGAGGCTAACCTGATCTATACATCAAGTTCCAGGTCTGCCAAAGCTACTGAGTGAGACCCTGTCTCAAAAACAAAAACAAACGAAAAACACTTCTTAGCATCCATGGAAAAAGCTGGCCTGAGCAGGGCTGTGGTGGCGCATGCCTTTAATCCCAGCACTTGGGGGGGCAAAGGCAGGCAGATCTCTGAGTTCAAGGCCAGCCTGGGCTACAGAGTGAGTTCCAGGACAGCCAGAACTACACAGAGAAACCCTGTCTCGAAGAAAAAAAAAAAAAAAAAAGCTGGCCTGGTGTCACGTCATGTACACCCATCCTCCCAGTGCTGTGGGGTGGTAGAGAGAAGATCACCAGGGTTTGCTAGCTGCCAGCCCAGGGGGAGACCCTGTCTCAACACCCAACTTCCTCAGCTGGTTTACTGTAAACAGGTACACAACCTCCACATACAAAGATCTCTAGTGCCAGACCTGGGTTCTCTACCCAAGGCAAGTATTTTTAAGCCATTAATATATATTTTTAATTACATTTTATTTACTGTGTGAGTGTGTATATTCGTGAATATACATGAGTTGCAGTGTATGTATATGTATGGTCTACAGAGTGAGTTCCAGGGCAGCCAGAGCTGTTACACAGAGAAACCCTATCTCAAAAAAACCCAACAATAAAAAAAAAATTCATACACATTAAAAAAGAAGTCATTGAAAAAATAAATAACAAAAGCTTCATTCATAACTTTCTTCCTTTTTTCTTAAAGGTATTACGGACCAAGGATATAGTTCAGCAGTAGAGCATTTGCCTAGCATGCACAAGGCCCTGGGTTCAAAGCCCAGCATGGTGGGGTAGGAGTGGTGATCACCTCAGCTCACAGCTCACCTTGACTGTCATGATGAGCTCTTCCTGAAGCTGTTCAGTCTCCTCGGGTGAGAGCTGGAAGCAAACAGAAGACCCAAGTGAAATGCCCACATTCTCCCGAGCCCAGGAAGGGGGAAATGGGGGGGCCGACGCACGCCTACCTTCAGGGCTATGAAGGAGGTGATGCTCACTGCCATTGTTTGCATCTTGGGGTTCTCACGTCTGCACAGCCACCTCATAACAAGCTTGGCAGCATCAAGCCTGAAAAGCAGAATATTATTTTTCTCACAGGTGCATAAAGTTTACAAAGTTATAAATAACAAGTGAAAATAAATCCTTTATTCTCCTTCCAAAAATTCTGTACACAGTTAAAGGCTGAGAGCAGAGGGCTCCTGAGGTTCTGCCCCTCCCCTCCCTTAGAGTCTATCCAGCTAGTGGCTTATAGCAGAGGGAGGGATGTTCTCTTCAGTGGTGCGGCCTCTGGTAAGCCGCCCATGCCTCTGCCTGTAAGTAAACCCTCACCCATGTCCCTGTAAGCAGCCCTAATTAAGCTAACTGTTCACACAAATAAAGACATGAAAAGAAGAAAGAAGAGTGACTAGTTGGAAAGAGGAAGCAGCTCTGAGTAGATGGGAACAAGAGCATATTTGGGGATGAATAAGATCAACACATTAGGGCTGGAGAGATGGCTCAGAGGTTAAGAGCACTGGCTGTTCTTCTAGAGGTCCTGAGTTCAATTCCCAGCAACCACATGGTGGCTCACAACCATCAATAACGAGATCTGGTGCCCTCTTCTGGCATACGGGCATATTGTATACATAATAAATAAATCTTTAAAACAAATCAACACATTATACACAAGTATGAAAATACTACAATGAAATCCAGTACTGTGTATGATATATGCTAAGGAAAAATTTTAAAACAAAAGTGAAAATGTCAACTTTTAAAGCCTTAGCAATGAAAATCAGAACATTTCAGAGCGATCCCAAGAGAAGTACATTCCAGTAAGAATGTGAGTAACCAAACTCTGCTGGCCTCAGTCTGATGCTTATCTGTACTTGCCTGTCAAACGGGACATCCATAAGAATCCTGGAACTGGTTAAGGAGAGAAGGCAATTCTTCTGTAACTTTTGGGGAAGAAAGGAGGAACACTCATAAGCAAATGCAGAGCAGGTTAAGACATGCGGCTGGTGTGACCAAGGAACTTTTTTATGGAGCGCTCACTACTTATGTAGTCCTCTCCATGATTTTAACTCACTCCTACAATTGGAATAAAGACTGAATGGTACTCTTAAAGACCAACTCCCAGCCAGGCGGTGGTGGCATATGCCTTTAATCCCAGCACTCAGGAGGCAGAGCCAGGCGGATCTCTGTGAGTTCCAGGCCAGCCTGGTCTACAGAGCAAGATCCAGGACAGGCATCAAAACTACACAGAGAAACCCTGTCTTGAAAAAACTAAAGAAGACCAACTCCCATTTTTTAAAATACGTCTTTTTTTATTTATTTTCATTTCATGTGCACTGGTGTTTTGCCTGCATGTATGTCTGTCTGTGTGAGGGTGTCGGATCTCTTGGAACTGGAGTTACAGACAGTTGTGATCTGCCGTGTGGGTGCTGGGAATCGAATCCTGGTCCTCTGGAAGAGCAGCCAGTGCTCTTAACCACTGAGCCATCTCTCTAGTCCCAACTCCCATTTTTTTAAAAGTTATATTAGTTTTGTGTGTGTCTGTGTGTGTCTGTGTGTGTGTAGGTGTGTGTATTTGGGTGTGCACATCATAGCACACATGTAGAGGTCTGAGGACAACTTGGAGTAACCAGCTCTCTTCTTCCATCATGTGGGTCCTAGAGATTGAACTTGGGTTACCAGGGTGGAGGTGCCTTCATCCTGAGAGCTATCATGCATTTCAATTAGACAAATTTACGTTGCTGAATAACCACCACCACAATAAAGATTTAAATGAAATCATGTCACTCACACTTTTAGCATGCTTTGCTTGACTCATGTTTTCTAGGGTCAACTATGCTCCATGTACCAGTACCTCACTTCTTTCTTGTTAGACAGAACTCACTTAAACAAACATCACATTTGAGTATCTATTCATCTGTTGTTGAAACACTTGGGTCATTCCATCTTTTTATGAAGTTCAGTGTGTGTGTGTGTGTGTGTGTGTGTGTGTGTGTGTGTGTGTGCGCGCGCGCGCGCGTGCGCACGCACTTGTACAGAGATTAAAAAGCAACTAACAGGAGGTGGTTTTTTTCCTTCCACCATGTGAGTCTCAAGGATCAAACACAGGTCTTAACTCAGGTTGCACTTTGACCTGCTAAGTGCTAACTTTTATCTTGTTGGTCCAACTCAATTTTTTCTTCCCTCAGATTTCTGTTTGTTTGAGATGGGATCTCATGTAGCCCTGTTGGACTTTGAACTGTATGTAGCAGCAGAGAATAACCTGAACTTCTGATCCTACTTGCTCCACCTCCCAAGTGCTAGGATTATAGGTGAGATCCATCACACCTGGCCTGACAATGTTAGTGGATGTTTCTTAATAAATGCTTTTTATTTTTATATTTTTGGTATTTTGAAACAGGGTTTCTCTGTGTAGCCCTGGCTATCCTGGAACTCGCTCATAGACCAGGCTGGCCTCAAACTCAGAGATCTGCCTGCCTCTGCCTCTGAGTACTGGGATTAAAGACATACACTACCACGCCCAGCTTTCTGAGTAAATGGTTTTAGCTTCGTTGCTTATTCATATTTCCTACTTTTTCCTATAACATTAAGTCCTATTTTATCTATAAAAGAATAAAAGCTGTAATTCAGTAATACAGATCTTCCGTCTATCTGCTCTAAGGTTCAATGTCAGTCAATAATTTAATTGAAATTACCTGTTGGTAGTAGGGGAAATTTTTCATTGCTCTGAAGAGCAGACAGGTGACCTCCGACAACAGACGGATGGGCATGCCCCTGGCCAGGCCCTGGCGGGTGAGGTTGAGGACACAAGCACTGGCCGTGAACTGCACTGGCAGATCCTGTGGGTGATTCCTCATTCCTATAGCCACGAGCTGAAGAAGAGCGATTTCAGAGGGACAGTCACCATTAAAGACTCTGGTACTGGCTCCAGTCTATCTCTGTTGGTGCGAGTATTTGCTCATTGGGTTAATAACAGACTTTTCTTAGAATTTACTCTGTAGGACACAGGAATTGCAGCAATAGCTTCAATCCAAATTAACTATCTGGGTAGCTCTGGACCTGAATCTCTTCATCCGTGCCAGGAACTGTATGATCATTTCCCGAGCATCACCCGAGCTACCGTGACAAGCACCGCAAGAGACACAAACATCAGTCAGAGTATGCCATTTGGGGGATATTTTGAGACGGGGTCTCATTGTGGAGGTCGGCTGATCAAACTCAGCAATCTTCCTGCCTCTGCCTTCTAAGAGCTAGGATGCAGACATGTTCTCCCAGTGAATAAGATCATGCCTCATGCCTTAGCATAAATCCTCAGCGTTCACACTAGGGGATACCAGACATGAAACTGAAAAAAAGCACCAAGGAGCGGCTGGCGAGATGGCTCAGAGGTTGAGAGCACTGGCTGCTCTTCCAGAGGTCCTGAGTTCAATTCCCAGCACCCACATAGTGGCTCACAACCATCTGTAATGAGATCTGGTGCCCTCTTCTGGTGCTCTGCATGTATGCAGGCAGAACACTGTATACATAATTAAAAAAAAAAAAAAAGAAAAAAAAGCACCCAGGAGAGGTATAAATGCAGTAGCTGGGAGGCCACACTTTGGAAGACTCCACTGACAAAGCATGTCAGACAGGCTCTAGAACCTAGACAGGAGACAGAGGCAGGAAGGGAAACAAAAAAAAAAAAAACAAAAAACAGGAAGGAAAAACAAAAACCACCAGATGGATGGACAAAAGGATGGGATGAGTTACCAAGGGAGAAGGAAGAACTTTAAAAGTAGAAAATATAACACTGGAAAGGCAATATAAGCGGAGGGAAACCCAGAGCACAAATGCAAAACAAGGAATGTTACTTAGATTTTGTTTCTTTAGAATTACTTTATGAGTGATGTGCCTACATGTTATATAAAATTAAATTTTAAAAGTGAGTTTTACATGTGATGAAGCAAATTAGTATGGATAAACTCATGATAGTGTAAATGCTTTCTGATGTATAAAAAGTAAAAATAAAACGAGTTTATTATTCCCTAAGCCAAAATTCAGCTATAATGTATCCCAAGCTGGCCTCACTATATATAGCCAACGATGACCTTAAACTTCTAATCCTTCCACCTTTCCCTCCTGAGAACTGGAGTCATGGGTGTGTACCACTACTCCAGGCAACAATTCATTTCATTTTGTTCTGTTCTTGCTTTCCTTCAGAAAATCTGACTTTAGGACAACTAATATAGCTCAGTTAGTAGGACACTTGTCTAGCACACACAGACTACTGGGTTCAATGCCCAGCATGACATAAACCAGGCATGTAAACACGCCTGTAAACACATCCTAGTACTCGGTCAGAAGAAAATCAGAAAATCAGCGTTGGAGCTGGGGGGTACAGCTTAGCAGTACAGTGCTTCCAAGCACACATGAGGCATGCTCAATGTCCTTTCACTATACAAATTGGTCATTTAACGGCACATGCCTGTAATTCTAGCACCTAGGAGGTAGATGTGGCGGTTCAGTGGTTCAAGATCATCCTCAGCAACATGAAGTTTAAGCCTAACCTGGGATAGATGAGACTCACAGAAGAAAAAGAATGAAGAAAATCAAATATTAGAGTTTGAAGACTAAACAAATAAATAAATGCATAGGAAATGTCTAGAGCAAAGTGAATTCAATCCCTACAAACAGATCCATAACTCCTATTTTATATTTTAAAAAGATAATACAATGCTACTACTATCTTCCTGTACTGTTCACCAAACACTTTTTTTTAGGAGACAAGGTCTCACTATGTCGTAGTAGCCGGCCTGGAACTCACACTGATCTGTCTTCATTCTCCTCTAGAATGCTGGAATTAAAGGGGTGCTCTATCAGGCCTGCTAGTAAACAACTTTCAACTGACCAGGAAAGAGGTGATGAAGTCAGTCTTCTTTCTGAGGTACCTTTAGAATGGCAGGCAGGATGGCACTCAGGGAGATCGTCTCTGTGAAGAGCCTGTAGAGAGCTTCCTTCACAAAACACGGCCTGTTCCTGTACTGGCTCAGTGCTTCAGAAATCTGACTCATGTTGGCTCCTCCAGCAACCTGAAAAACATGGAGTCACAGCAGGCTTCACCTTCTCACACATGCATTTGGGTTCTGCCAGCTTCAAAAGCACAGCAGGTGTTCAAATACTCCAGGTAGTGAAGTTGCTCCCCTTTAGTCCTGATTCTAATAGAACCTTGTGTTCCTCAACTTCCATTTTACAGATCTTCCATTTTACAGATCTACCCGAGGAGTGAAGTGTGCAGCTTGGTACCACGACGAGGGAAGTTGGTGCTAGTGCTGGAATCATTACTTCTCCCCGACCCGGAGTCCAGTTATGCCTGGAGTCCAGTTCTGCCTGGAGTCCAGTTCTGCCCGGAGTCCAGTTCTGCCCGGAGTCCAGTTCTGCCCGGAGTCCAGTTCTGCCCGGAGTCCAGTTCTGCCTGGAGTCCAGTTATGCCTGGAGTTCAGTTATGCCTGGAGTCCAGTTATGCCTGGAGTCCCAACACCCAGGAGGCAGAGGCAAGAGAATTCTCAGACGAGAACAGCCCCCTGTCTGAATCAAGAACTGGGGGAGGGGGGCGCGCAGGGGGGACCCACAAAAGCTCACTTGACTGTATTTTGGAGATCTGCCTTGGTGTAGACTACTTGCCTAGCAAGTATGAAGCCCGGGGTACAGTTCCTAGTGCAAACAACAAAACAAGCCACACAGGAGCGTGCAAAGTTCCAGCAGTGAACAATCACAATGGAAGCCTATCAGCAGGCTAAGAGCTCACACAGGAAAAACCATCCGGTCAAGGCGGGAAGGCACAGGAAAAGGAGCTCAGTCGTCCTTGTCCTTGGTTCTAACCCCGCTTCTCTATGCCATAACTCTTCCTTGCCATCCCAGGATGCTGTGTTTTAAACAGCCCACTTCAATTAGCCTAAAGATAGCGGAGGTCTCCTGATTACACCCTCTCCTGTAGCTGCTCTCCAAAACATAAGGAATTTTTTCTTTTTTTTTTAAACTAGACATGATCAAGTTTTCAACATCCCTGGGTAGTAAAGAACAAGAAAAACAAAACAAAACAGAGGAGCAGAGAATAAGTGAGAATCTTACAAAATGAAAGGAAGAAATGAATTCAAAACATCCATCCTGCCTCCACCACTCACACCATCATCCCAGTACTCAAACGGACAAGTGCGTTTGTTCTTTTGAGACAGGCAGGGTCTTACTGCACATCCCAAACTAGCTTCAAACTCACAATCTACCTGCCTTGGTCTCACCAGCCCTGGGATCACAGGAGTGTGTCCACCTAGGGAAGTGCTTTTGAAAAAGGAGCTAACTGCGAAAAAGTGAAGACGTTCAAACCAACTCCAGAGCAATCAGAAGGAACGAGAAAAAAATGCAAAGCTACATTCCATCTGAGAACAATTCTTCCAATAAACTAACAACAAATCAGAAGCACTCAAGACTTGGAGTCTCAGTATGCACTTTGGTATATGAAAAAAACATAAATACCAAAGAGGCAAGGAAGCGGGTAAGGTTTAAAAAAACTGAGGCAAAGAAAGGGTTACTAAACTCATCTGCTGCCTGAGTTCATTTTCAACCCTGAAATCCATATAAAGGCAGGAGAGAGCCAACTCCAGTTAACCTTTGACCTCACCTATGTGCTCCGCCTCCTCAAACACATCGCGCGCGCGCGCGAGCACACACACACACAGAGTAATAAGTGACAATGACAATGGGGCTGGTATGATGGCTCACCAAGTAAAGGCACTTGCTGCCAAGCCTGGTGACCTGAGTTTGCTCGGAGACAATCAACTCCTGAAAGCTGTCCTTGGATCTCCACATGCATGCACTGACACACACGCCCTCACGTGAAAGCAAACGTGGACAAGTAAGTGCTAAGGACATTTTCCAAAAAAAAAAAAAAAAAAAAAAAAAACCCTAGGCATGGTGGTACACACCTTTAATCCTAGCACTTGGGGGAACAGAGGCAAGTGGATCTCTGTAAGGACAGCCTGGTCTACACAGCAAGTCCAGGCCAACCAGAGATTATAATAAGACACTGTCTCACAATAAAACATTTAAAAATAATAGTAATAAATAAAATGGGGGACTAGAGAGATGGTTCAGTGATTTAAAGTACTTGTTCTTGCAGAAGATCTGGGTTGATTCCTAACTCCCACACGGTGGCTCACATCCATCTGTAACTCTGGTTCCAAGGGATCTGACACCTACTGCTGACTTCATGCAGCCCCAGGCACGTAAGTGGTACATACACAAAACAAAACATTCACACACATAAAAGCTTCAAAGAAACATGAAAATAAAAAATGTAAGCTGGGCGGTGGTAATGCATGCCTTTAATCCCAGCACTTGGAAGAGGCAGGTGGATTTCTGAGTTTGAGGCCAGCCTGATCTACAGAGTAGGTTCCAGGACAGCCAGGGCTACACAAGAGAAACCCTGTCTTAAAACCCCTCCCCCACAAAAAAATAAAACTATGGCAATGCAAGCCAAATATATCAGTGATAGAGGAACACATAGGTATTTAACTCACTTATTCACTGAAGGATTTGTGGAGGTGGTGTTAGAGGGCTGTGTGTATACATGTATACTTGTGTGTATACATATGGAGGCCAGAGGTTAGTACTAGGTGTCTTCCTCTATTACCCTCCATCGTTTTTTTGTTTTTTGTTTTTTTTTTAAGCAGAGTCTCTTACTGAACCTGGAGATCACTGATTGAGCGATACCTGTGGTGATATATTGTGTATCAAATAAAGCTTGCCTGGGGATCAGAGGACAGAGCCAGCCTCTAGATTAAACATACAGGCCAGGCAGTGGAAGCACACGCCTTTAATCCCAGCACTCAGGAGGCAGAGTCAGGTGGATCTCTGAGTTTGAGGCCAGCCTGGTCTACAGAGCAAGATCCAGAACAGGCACCAAAATGACACAGAGAAACCTTGTCTTGAAAAATCAAAAAAGAATATATCTAAAACAGTGATTTTCAAAACAGAAATAGAGTATGTTCATCTAGTACCAAAAAAAGTACACTCAACTCCGGCTGTTTATACAGATCAGTGGTTAAGAGTACTTGATGCTCTTGCAAAGGACCCAGGCTGTGCCTGTATGGTGGTCCGTAGCTGCCTCCATGTGCACTGCATGAATGCGGTGCACATACACACACTGGGTACACACACACACACACACACACACACACACACACACGCACGCACGCACGCACGCACACACACACACACACACACACACACACACAGCCAGGTGTTTTAGCACACACCTTTAGTCCAAACACTTGTAGTAGGTAGAGACAGATCTCTGTGAGTTGGATTGGAGACCACAGTGAGACCCTGTCTCAAAAGAAAGCATCAGCAACTAAAGATTTTTTTTTTTCAGTTTCTTTTTTTTTTCCTTTTCATCTAACTGCTTCTGCTTCATGCTAGGATTAAAGGCATTTGCCACTACACCAGTAAAAAACAAAACAAGGGGCTGGAGAGATGACTCAGCGGTTAAGAGCACTGGCTGGTCTTCCAGAGGTCCTGAGTTCAATTCCCAGCAACCACATGGTGGCTCACAATCATCTGTAACGAAATCTGGTGTACTCCTCTGGCCTTCAGGGACACATGCAGGCAAAATACTGTATACATAATAAATAAATAAATCTTTAAAAAAAAAAAAACAAAAAAAACCCGATTTTATTTATTTAAATACATGCTTTTTTTAAGGTAACAACATAAAAAGCTATACATATTTATTCAAGCAATGGTCTAAACATCTTTTTTCATTTATAGAATCAAACCTGGGGCTTTCTACATGCTAGAATGACCACTAAGATACATCCCACTCCTTCAGAATTTTTTTTCTTTTTTTTTTTTTTAGGTTTTTCGAGACAGGGTTTCTCTGTGCAGCTTTGTGACTTTCCTGGATCTCGCTCTGTAGACCAGGCTGGCCTTGAACTCACAAAGATCCGCCTGCCTCTGCCTCCCAAGTGCTGGGATTAAAGGCGTGCACCACCACCGCCCGGCTCCTTCAGAATTTTTTTGGGGGGGAGGGGGCTGGGTATGATAGTTTGCACTTGTAACCCTAGCATTTGGGGATCTGTGCAGTTAGACAGCTACCATGTCTGTCTGTCTGTCTGTCTGTCTCTTGTTTTGTGTTTTTCAAGACAGGGTTTCTCTTTGTAGCTCTAGCTGTCCTGGAACTCTCTCTGTAGACCAGGCTGGAGTTGAACTCACAGAGATCCGCCTGCCTCTGCTTCCTGAGTGCTGGGATTAAAGGAATGTACTACTTCTGTGCCTGGCTTCTCTCTATAGCCCTGGTTGTCTTGGAACTCTGTAGACCAGGCTGGTCTTGAACTCACAGAGATTCTCCCTGCCTCTGCCTCCCTAAGTGCTCTTTAAAAAATTATTTTTCAGGAGTCTGGAAAGATAGCTCAGTAACTAAGAGCACTAGCTGAGTCCTGCGGTGGTGATGCATGCCTTTAATCCCAGCACATGGGAAGGAAAGGCAGGCAGACCTCAGAGTTCATGGCCAGCCTGATCTACAGAATTCCAGGACACCCAGGGCTACACAAAGAAACCCCATCTCAAACAAAACAAAACAACAACAAGAGAGAGCACCAGCGCCACTAGCAGTGGTGGCGCACGCCTTTAGTCCCAGCACTGGGGAGGCAGAGGCAGGTGGATCTCTGTGAGTTCGAGGCCAGCCTGGTCTACAAAGTGAGATCCAGGAAAAAAAAAAAAGAAAGAAAGAAAGAAAGAGAGCACTAGCTGTTCTTCCAGAGAACCTCGGTTCAATTCCCAGCACCCACATGGTGGCTCACAATTATTGGAACTCTAATTCTTTTCTGCAGTCTACAAGCACTACATATACACACGCAAGTAAAACAATCATACATATAAAATAAAAAGTCTTTTAAAAATTAAAGAAATTGGTGGGGTGGTGGTGGTGCACACCTTTAATCCCAGCACTCGGGAGGCAGAGCCAGGTGGATCTCTGTGAGTTCAAGGCCAGCCTGGGCTACCAAGTGAGTCCCAGGAACGGCGCACACAGAGAAACCCTGTCTCAAAAAACCAAAACAAAACAAAAAAATTTAAAGAAATTGTTCTTTAGTCATTCCTTGGCCAAAAATGGTGCTAGCCATATTGATCATCCCCATCAGCAGCTAGAGTCAGCTCTTGGTAGAGGGAAGAACACAAGTTTTGGAGTCACAGATACTTGGATCTGAGTTCTAGCTCTATCATTTAATAGTTCCATAACTGTGGGGGCTTCCCTTTCCTCATCTGTGAAATGAGAGACCAAGGGGGAAACAAATCAGAAATGGATTTTGCATGGGAAAAGAATGGCTGTAGCTATCATCATCAAGCTGGACATGGAGGTTGAAACTGTTTATGTGTTTGGGGGGTGGGGCACATGTATGCACCTATGCATGCAGGTGTGCTCACCCCTGGGAGGAGTTGTGGAGGCCACAGGCATTCATGGGAAGATTCTTCCTCTCTATATTTGCTGGTCAATGTGCTCTTGGGATTAGCCAACCTCTGCCCGCAGGGCAGACATTACAAATATTGCCACACCCACTTCTCCCCATTTTAAAACAGGGAGGTTGACGACCTTAACTCAGATCCTCATGCTTGCCCAGAAAGCACTTTACCCACTGTGCCACGGCCTCAGTCTCTTTGGAATTGTATCTTAACGTTACAGCCCCCACAACTTGTTAGACCAGGATAGTTACAAACTGTTAAGGAATGCCGGTCATGGTGGCACACACCTTTAATCACAGCACTTGGGAGGCAGAGGCAGGTGCATCTGTGTGAGTTGAAGGCCAGCCTGGGCTACATAGTGAATTCCAGGACAGCCAGGGCCATGTTGAGAGACCCTGTCTCAAAACAAAACAGCAAAAAATAAAAACTATTTAGGACTCTATATAAGTAACCCACACCTAATATAGATTCTAATGTATAAGAAAATATAATGCTCTGAACAAATAAAACAAAAATGTATGTTAGAACAAACCTTTAAGCCTTGCTTTGAAACAAAGAAATCAGAATAACCAGCATCAGTGGACAAGAGCCCCACAAATTGAATCTCAGGCCGCTGCTGCAGAAAGGATTCCACAGCTTCATCAGTGATGTCGATGCCCCCGGAAATATCCAGGGACACAAGGCTGGGCAGGATGTCCTCCTGCTGTAACAGAAGACAAGCCAGGTCTGATCTGAGCTGCCTGTGATCAGAAATATCAAGGTGAAGCAGGCGTTTCAGTTGTCTGAGGACGGCAAGAATTTGTCGGTTGGCCATGGTCAGGCACTTCAGATAGTGCATTGTGAGAGACCTGAGCCGGTCCTTACAGGCGAGGAGTGCAGAGATATTAGTGACCAGAGTATTGGAGATGTCCAGGCTTTCCAGGTGTGGTAACTGGGAAACGCTCGCTAGGTCTTCGTTCCAGAAGGACACGTTGGCAACGTTTAAAGTGCGAATGCCAGTGAACCGACCCAAGGCCAGCAGTCTTGAGTTCTGAGGGACACTAGTTGAGTCTATCAGAAGGCACTGCAGGTTGTTCTGGATCCAGGCACTGCTCTGGAGAGCGTGGACGATGTCTGCGGCTGGAAGCTCCGAGTCCACTGAGGTGGCGTCCACTTCGAGAAGCTTGTGATGGCAGAAGGCTTTTGTGAAGGCTGCTGCGGAGAGCCTGGATCTCTGGATACGGATCCGCTTCAGGTTTGTTCGCTTGCCCTGGAAAATGCTTGCTGTTCTGTCCGTCAGCTTGCCTGGAAGAAAAGCAGAACCGCTGACACGGACAACCAAAGCTCATGGCGTTCCTGGCTGCGAGGTGACAGTGAATGAGGAGGACAGATGCTGCCAGCCAGACACTGCTCTGAACTCGTCACTAAGGTGACCCCCTTTAGGTCACTAAGGTGACCCCCTTTTGTTTTTACACTAACACTGCAGGGGAACTTTTAGTATTGTTAGATAGACGAGGAAACTAAGAGTTTAACCTGCCCAAGTCAACTGACGGAAGCTTGTACTTCGGAGCTCAGGCTTATCTACGACAACCTTGTTCACAGAAACCAAGCAAAATCAAATAGGGACAGACAATAAGACCTTGGGGTGGGGGTGGGGGTTCAGGGTCTCACCACATAGCTCTGGCTGTCCTGGAACTCGCTCTGTAGAACAGGCTGGCCTCAAACTCAGAGCTCTGCCTGCCTCTGGCTTCCCTGTGCTGGGATTAAAGGCATGTGCCACTACACCTGGCTTTTTCTGTTATGATCACTTGAAATCAAAATACAGAATGACTTAACGAGCCACTTATCCCCATTTTTTTCTTTTAAAAAACTTTTAGATTGATTTATTTTATGTGTATGAGTGTTTTGCCCTCGTGTGTCTATGTGCATCGTGTGTGTGTGTGCCTGGTGTCCACAGAGGTCAAAAGAGGGCATCCAATCCCCGGAACTGATGTTACAGACAGTTGTGAACCACCATGTGGGTACTAGGAACGAAACCTGGATCCTCTGCAAGAGCAACTAGTGCTCTTAACTGCTGAGCCATCCCTGCAACCCTGGAGGACTTTGTTGTCTTCATCTGTAAAACAAACAGGCTGTACTAGACTCCATTTAGCAAAGATTTACAAAGCACTGTCTACATATGAGATTCCAGGCTAAGCAATGGGCTTATCAGACACCTGTGGCCCCAAGAAACTCAATCTAGGAGGGCACACCAGTAGAAAATTAAAATACTTGTGTTCGTAGTAGTAACATATGACTGATAAAATTGGGACTGGTAAGCCGGGCGGTGGTGGCACAAGCCTTTAATCCCAGCACTCGGGAGGCAGAGCCAGGCGGATCTCTGTGAATTCCAGGCCAGCCTGGTCTACAGAGTGAGACACTACTTTGATAAAAGCATAGTCCCACTGTTTCTAAGAATTGACGGCTCCCAGAGTTGGCGGTAAAAGTACCACCACCATGTTGGGAAGCTGAGGAGGGTAGAGCCAGCAGCCACAGCATCGTTTCAGTCTTAGAATGCTACAGTTTAAAGCAATAGGTTCACAATAAGACAGATTCAGATGGAATAGTTTACAATGTGTGTAAAATGTACATAGGCTTGAAAGAGACAAAAAAGTGATATATATATACAGTTATATAATGAAATAGTTTTTAAAAATAAAGTTTTAAAGTAAAAATTAATATAAAAAATAAGCCATGGCCCAGCTGATCCAACACCCAGAACGGTTTCAAGGCAACTGGCTCAGACAATACAGCCTCACAGACTACCCTATAATCCTAAAATTTCTTTGTGTCCCCATAAGAATACAACGCCCTCCTCCAGCAGGAAGTAGTAAGAGAAGCTATGCCCAAATTCCCAAATATACCAAACTGGCTTTGGAGATGGAATTAGCTCATTCCTTCTCTAAACCCAAGCATATTCCTAAAAAAAAAAAGGTTGAGAGATTCTTGTGTCCCATATTAGAAGAGCCCTCTGGTGTGGGACAGAGAAAAACCAATATTTTTATTTAAAACAGGTTGATTATAAATACAATCTCTTTCTAAAGAAGAAAAGGGGATAGTTTAGATATGATAGGATGAAAGGGTAGATTAACGAACCTACTTTTATTTTATTTATTTATTTATTTTGGTTTTTTGAGACAGGGTTTCTCTGTGTAGCTTTGTGCCTTTCCTGGGACTCACTTGGTAGACCAAGATGGCCTTGAACTCACAGAGATCCGCCTGCCTCTGCCTCCCAAGTGCTGGGATTAAAGGCGTGCGCCACCACCGCCGCCTGGCCGAACCTACTTTTAAAGAGTAACAACATGGCTGGGAGGTGTTGTCATACGCCTTTAATCCCAGCACTTGGGAGGCAGAGGCAGGTGGATCTCTGTGGTTCAAGGCCAGCCTGGTCTACAAGGTGAGTTCCAGGAAAGGTGCAAAGCTACACAGAGAAACCCTGTCTCAAAAAACTAGAAAAGTGTAACAACTTGTTTAGAAATGTTTTACATTGCTATAGTTTTAGTTTATTGATACAAGTTTAAACTTAATTTTGTTATACTGTATATGTATTTCTACTCTTGTTTGAGGTATTATGTTTATGTAACTCATTTAGATTGCAATGGATAATTAAGAAATACAGATTAATAATTAGTCTTCTATGATAGCCAAACTTGTAACATGTTAGTTAAGTTTTCTAGGTATATATAGATATATTTCAGATAGATAGGTAATCTTCAAACACTTCAAAGACCTACAGAATATGGCATTTAAAATGTTTTAAAAATTTAGACTTTCTGGAGAGTGAGACATGTCTGCTCCTGGCAGCACCAATTTACTTCAGAGAAGAGGATGGACATCAAAGACACTCCATATGGAGTTTATTTAGACCTTGGCAAAAACAGCCATTTGGGCAAGAAATTATTCTTGCCTGGAGTGCTTAAAAAAAATGTATCAACTGGACATGCAGGACCCACAGGAAGGTGATCACTTAACTTTGCTTGGCAAAATGGTCCTTCAGGTTCCTGCTTTGCAGAGGAAACTGCCAGACATTCTACAGGACACAAAGAGAAATGACTGAGAGACTCTAGGCCTGTGGGCTGAAGACAGATGTTCCAACTTTACAAAGGAACATTGGGTGACTGTCCAGGCTGCCAGCTGTCTCTGTCTACTCTCACAAGACTCCCAAAAGTTGCTTGTGTCCTCCTATTTCTCAGGTAATATTATATCCTTCTGAGGTCTTTGATGTAGTTAAAGAATAGATAGTTATAATTTCCTTAGTTATGATAAAAGATAAGTTAGATATGAAATCTTAGACTCACAAATGTAAGATAGATAGGATATCTTCTTTAATTTTGCCAAACACAAATAGACTGGATATTATAACTACAATTCTTGCTTGATAATTGTTTTGTTATATGTAATTTTGCTATGTGAAAGTTAAAACCTTCCTCTTTAAAAGAAAAGAAAGGGGAAAGTGTTATGGGATGTTCTCTATGCTGTGAATGTATTGCTATGATTGATTGATAAATAAAACACTGACTGGCCAGTAGCCAGGCAGGAAGTATAGGCAGGACTAACAGAGAATTGGAGGGTTGGGGATTTAGCCCAGTGGTAAAGCGCTTGCCTAGTAAGCGCAAGGCCCTGGGTCCTCAGCTTCAGAAAAAAAAAAAAAAAAAAAAAAAGAAGAGAGGAGAATTGGTGTAACAGGAAGGCAGAGTGGAGGAGATGCTGCCAGCCACCACAATGAGGAGCAGGATGTAAAGTACCAGTAAGCCACAAGCCACGTGGCAAAGTATAGATTAACAGAAATGGGTTAATTTAAGATAGAAGAACTAGATAACTAGAAGCCTGCCACGGCCATACAGTTTGTAAACAATATAAGTCTCTGTGTGTTTACTCAGTTGGGTCTGAGCGGCTGCCAAACTGGCAGGTGAGAGAGATTTGTCCTGACCGTGGACCAGGCAGGACTGGAGAAAACTTCAGCTACACAGGACAGGCACCAAAACTATATACAGAGAAACCCTGTCTAGAACCCCCCCCCCAAAAAAAAGAGAAAAAAAATTGGGACTGGTGAGAGTCACGTGATTTAGGGAAAGTTGTGTATGTGTGTTTTAGATGGGGACTCATTCTGTAGCCCAGCTACCACTCCTAGCTTATATTTATATTTTTAGAAAGGCACAGCTGGGGACCACTGAGAAGGCTCAGTGGGTAAATGTGCTTGCTGCAAAGCTTAATGACCCGAGTTCGGTCCCCAGGACCCATGTGTTGGAAAGTAAGAGCAGACTGACATTCATTCAGCGCCTCAGATGCTCATGTGCACTCACAAACTCACAAACAAAAATTTCTAAAATAAAAAGCCAGGTGGGGGTGGCACATGGCTTTAATCCCAGCACTCAAGAGGCAGAGGCAAATGGATCTCTGAGTTCAAGACCAACTTGGTCTACAGAGCGAGTTCCAGGACAGCTGAGGCTACACAGAGAAACCCTGTCTCAAAACACAAAAAAGAAAGAGAGAGAGAAAGGAAGGAAGGAAGGAAGGAAGGAAGGAAGGAAGACAGGAGCGATAGTGAATACCCAGGATGTCAACATTTGTGAGGCAGTGGCAGGAAGGATCATGTGAGCATCCTGAACTAGACCCTCTGGATATGGAAGACAGTTTTTTGACTCGAACTGTTTTGGGGGCACCCAGGCAGGGGGATCGGGATTCGTCCCTGGTGCATGAGTAGGCTTTTGGGAGCCCAGTGCCTGTGGTGTGACGCCTTGCACAGCATTGGTGCAGTGGGGAAGGGCTTAGACCTGCCTAGGCTCAGTGTGCTGGGCTCTGCTGACTCCCCATGGGAGACCTTGACTTGGGGGCTGTGGGGTGGCTTGGGAGAGATGGCTGGAGGGTGGGAGGAGGGAGGAGGGGGGATCAAGAATGCCAATAAGAAGCCAGGCGGCGGTGACACACATCTTTAATCCCAGCACTGGGAGGCAGAGCCAGGCAGATCTCTGTGAGTTCGAGGCCAGCCTAATCTCAGAGTGAGATCCAGGACAGGCACCAAAACAACACAGAGAAACCCTGTCTCAGGGGGGGAAAAAAAAGAATGCCAATAGGATGGGGGCTGGAGAGATGGCTCAGTGGTTAAGAGCACTGGCTGCTCTTCCAGAGGACCCGAGTTCAATTCCCAGCACCCACATGGCAGCTCATAACTGTCTGTAACTCTAGTTCCAGGGGACCCAACACCCATGCACATAAAAAAAAAATGCCAACAATTATGGGGGGGGGGCCAAAACAGCTTGACCACACAGCTGCCATGACAGGCTTAAAGGCCCAGACACAGCTTTTGGCAGGCAACACTTGGACCTAGGAAAAGCCATAATCTGACCCCACCCAATGTGGCCTGTATCGAAGAGGAAATACCTGATATTCAAAACATTTCCTATACCCTAGACAAATGTCAGTCAATCAGGATCTTTTTTTTTAAAGATTTATTTATTTATTATGTATACAGAAGAGGGTACCAGATCTCATTACAGATGGTTGTGAGCCACCATGTGGGTGCTGGGAACTGAACTCAGAACCTCTGGAAGAGAAGTTGGTGCTCTTAACCTCTCAGCCATCTCTCCAGCCCCTCAATCAGGGTCTTAAACCCTGGAAATCCCCTCACCCCAACCTCTGCCATGATAAAAAAAACCAACCCTGCCTGGGCTCTGGGCTCTGCTCTCACCCATTTGTCGGACAGAGAGACCAAGCTCTGAGCTTGAAAATAAAGGGTCTTTGCTTTTACATATGGGATTCAGTCTCCATAGTGGTCTTTTGGGGGTCCCCGAAATCTGGGCATAACAACACGACACTTAAAAAGTTCTGTATTTTGGAGCATTTCAGATTAAAGGTGTCCAACTGTATTCCCAAATCCAAAACATTACAGACCCTAAGCACATCAAATGAGGGATCATCAACCCTGGCAGAACTCTCTAAAATACCCACATTTGGGAGGGTGTGGTGATGTGGGCTGTAGTCTCAACTACTCAAGGGGCCGAGGCATGGATTGATTGCACGCTGGAGTTCAAGGGATGAGACCTTATCTCAGAAAAAAGTGAAATAAGAGCTCGGGAGAGGGCCCTTGCTGCTCTTGCAGACTCCCTAGGTTCAGTTCCCAGCACCCACACGGCAGCTCAAAACCACCTGTAACTCCAGCTGCAGGGATTAGGGCCCTTAGGTGGCCTTCTTGAGCACCAGGCATGCATGTGATATACATATGTACACGCAGGAAAAACACTCAGATACATAAAAAAAAATCCTTTTTAAAAGAAAAGGTTTGTGTGGTGGTACATGCCTTGAGGCACAGGGGTCTCTAAATTGTTTGTTTTTTGGTTTTTCAAGACAGGGTTTCTCTGTGTAAGTCTTGGCTGTCCTGGAATTCTCTTTGTAGATCAGGCTGGCCTCACAGAGATCTGCCTGCCTCTGTCTCCCAAGTGCTGTAATTAAAGGCGTGCGCCACTACGCGCCCGGCTAATATTTTTTAAAGGGCCAGTGAGAAGGGTGAGAAGATAAAGGAGTTTGCTGCATAGTCTGACCACCTGAGTTTGATCAGTAGAACCACATGGTGGAGAAAATCAACTCCAAGTTGTCCTCTGACCTCCGTTCCTGTATACACACATACACACAAATGAATGTCAAACCAAAATTTTTGCTCTAAGAAAACAAATCAAACATGACCTTGGTAATTCCGTCTCACTGTTTGTTTCTTGTTGCTGTTTTAATCTTTTACAGTTTATTTACTTGGTGGGGAGGGGACACGTCGAGGCCAGGGTGCATTCGTGAAGTCAGAAGACGACTCCCAGAACTTAGTTCTCTCCTTCCACCGCGTAGGTCCCAGGCTAGAACCTGGGCCGTCGGGTTTAACTGTCCTTACACTCACTGCCCTTACACTGAGCCTTCTTGCTGGTCTCTCCTTTGTTGTTGTTTCTCCCCCATCAGAATGTCCTAGAGCCCAGACTGGCCTCAGGTTCATTAAGAGCTGAAGACCACTGATATTCTGACCCTCCGGCCTCCTGTTCTCATGTGCTGGATTCACAGGCATGTGCCATCAAGTCTGGGCTCTTTTTCGTGTCCTGCGACTCACTAGACAAGTTCTCCACCACTGAGCTACATCTTCAGCCCCAAAGAAACTTTAAAGACTCACGCCCATAATGTAGAGAATAAAGGATGAGACTGTAACAGAATGGTGGATAAATGACAATGGTTTCATTTTCTTTATTTATTAGGCTAGCAGCAAGAATAGCTTAGAAAGCTTAGATTATTCCGTAAAGACTGAGATAAAGTAAGAACTATAAATAAAAGTATTTTTCAAATAATAAAGCACTGAGGTTCCTGAGGCTCCCAAAATAATACAGGCTATTGTCCCTGTTCCTGGACGCCCTCTAGAATTAGAGGGTAACTAAGACCTCACTGCTGAAGACACCATACACTTTGATTGTATAACTCATCGAGTACTCAAGCTGGAGCTGAGTTGAAAGCTTCCTTCCTTGCTGGTCAGACCTGATAGAGTGCTGAAAGATGCTAAGTAGGCTTTTAGAGGAGAACTGTCAATTCTTACTCAGCTGTGGACTACGTATGTATACTACACTACTGGGGTGCCAGGCACAACTTGGCCGCTGGTGAATCGTGGCAAGTCTGTACAACCAACTGTTCTTCAGTTGGAGTTGAGGTCCACGCCGCAAGAGGGAATTCATCTCTGGTACTGTAAACTTGGTCAAAAGCCTGTGGCCAAGGAGGCAGAGGCCTTAGGAGGGAAGGTTCCCCTGTTGTTTTGTTAATTGGACATGACCCGCCTGTGAAACTACCTTCTAGATACTCGTATGTCATAGGTCAGTGCTGCCATCAGCTTATCACTGCTTAGCTGCTAAGAAGGACTGACTGCTGGAGTTGGGGACTAGCCTGGCGGGTATGAGCACTTGCTATGCAGACATGAAAACCCCCAAATCAAAAAATCCGCAGCACTCAAGTGAAAAGCCCAGTGTGACCACACATGTCTATCACCCAGAGCTGTGTAGGTGTGGAGATGGGGGCTGCTAGGGCTTGCTGGCTGCCAGCCTAGCTCCAGACTTGGTAAGAGACTGTGTCTCAAGGAGCTAAGGGAGAAAATGGTAAGGGCAGATCACCTGATGTCCTCTTCTAGTCTCTGCATGTGTACACACGGCACCCAAACACACACGCAAATAACACACCACACACACACACACACACACACACACACACACACACACACTGACTGAGCCCTAAATGGGTGTTCTCTATTACCCATTCCAAGGCTCATGGAAATTGCAGAAGAGAGGGACGGAAAGAACGGGAGTGTCATGGAACACTTTCTTCCTTCGTAACACGGTCACTGCAATCTTGTTTCCTCATTGGCTGTATCAGCACAAGACCTACACAAGACTGAGCTAGTCAACATTCTGTCAGGGGGGAAGGGAGTCACAAGGGCCCATCCTCCATGAGGATATAAATGTAATTAAAGGTTGCTGTGCACTCGGGGGTGGAGGGTTGTCTTTAATAGTATAATCACTGGTAAGGTGGGCCTGTGCTCCTGTAAATAACCCCTCGCCAATGACTCTGTAAGCTTCCTTAAGTAAACTCAGTGAGTCACAAAAAAAAAAAAAAAAAAGAAGTAAGCATTTTAGTACCTTGCCAAGCCATCCTCTCAAGGAACTGATCAGCTATTTCGTGAGGGAAACGCCAAAGCTCTGGAAGGCACAATGTTCCATCAGGTCTTTTAGAACACCATTGCTCTAAGTTAGCAATCAAGATATCCAGGCAGATGTTGACCAAAGAGTAGGGTGATGCTTCCTCCTAAGTAAGCAGAAGAGGAAAAAGAAAAAAAATTGTTAGAATTTGCTGTGGATATCATTCTGTATAAATAAAATACTGATTGGCCAGTGGCCAGGCAGGAAGTATAGGCGGGACAAGGAGAGAGGAGAATTCTGGGAAGTGGAAGGCTGAGTGGGGGAGACACTGCCAGTCGCCACCATGACAAGCAGCATGTGAAGATGCCGGTAAGCCACGATCCAAGTGGCAAGGTATAGATTTATGGAAATGGATTAATTTGAGATGTAAGAACAGTTAGCAAGAAGCCTGCCACGGCCATACAGTTTGTAAGCAACAGAAGTCTTTGTGTTTACTTGGTTGGGTCTGAGCGGCTGTGGGAATGGCAGGTGACAGAGGTTTGTCCTGACTGTGGGCAAGGCAGGAAAACTCTAGCTACAAGAATTCATCTGCAATCATTCAACATAAAGTGGTCATGACCAGCAAGCTGGCTCAGCAGGTAAAGGTGCTTGCTGCCAAGCCTGATAATCTGAGTTTGATCCCTGAGAAGATCCAACTTCCACAAGTAGTTCTTTGCCTTCCATATACCACATACAGCAATACTAAATGAAACAACAACAAACCAGCCAGCCAGGCATGAGAGTGCACATTTTTAATCCTAGCACTTGGGAGGCAGAGGCAGGCACATCTGAGTTCATGGCCAGCCTGGTCTAACGAGGACTACGAGGGTCCAGTCCCTCGATAGTCCCTCCCAGGGTCCGGGAAGAATCTACAACCAGCTGATAATTAATCTTTGAGGATAGAAAACGAATCTATTTAAACAAAAATCTTTAGTACATACACTTTATTCTTCTGAGTCAGTTCTCTCTCTACAGTTTCTATTCTGCTCTCATGCCTAGTTCCTCTCTTGCCTGATTTCTCTCTACATTTATCTGCTGTCCTCTAAGTTCTAACTTAATTCTCTCATATTAGTTCTGCCCCATCTAGGTTCTCATCCATCTAGTTCCTTCCCATCTTAGCTCCTCTCCCATCTCCTTCTCTCTCATCTAGTTCTTCCTCATCTTGTTCTTCCCCATTTGGCTCTTCCTCATCTTCCATCTCATTCCTCTAATACTCTCTTTTAGCCCTTCATCTAGTTCTTCCCATCTAGTCCGTTCCTCTCCAGTTCTTACCCAACTAGTTCTTCCATTCTCTCTTTTCCTCTCTCTCTCCTCCTCTCCATCTCCTTATTCTCTTCATTCCCCCCAAGTCTCCCAGAAATCCAGTTATAAACCCAAGCAATAGCAATCCTCTGGCCCAGCAAGGTCACCAGGCTTGAATTCTTATGGGGTCATAAAGGCAGGTAAGAATCTTCCTTAGGCAGTGACCACCAGGCATTCTTTTACAACCCAAAATAGGAGTGATAAAAGAGGAGGTAAGAAGTTAGGGTTCTATTAGTAAGGTTGTATAGGAAAGGAGGGTCTCACCCCAAATTGCACAAGAAATAAAACTATCTTCCTGACCTAGGAGACAGGTGTTGTTTCCTTTGGCCTTGGATGCTTGATAGGTATTTTAGATAAATACACCGTTAGGAGTTCTTGGAAGCACACATAGCATTACAGAAAATCACTGTAGGAACCAACTAATATATATATACAAAAGCTAAAATATCACCAAGGTTTTTTGCTGTTTTTTTTTTTTTTTTTTTTTTTTTGGTTTTTCAAGACAGGGTTTCTCTGTGTAGCTTTGCGCCTTTCCTAGAACTCACTCTGTAGTCCAGGCTGGCCTCGAACTCACAGAGATCTGCCTGCCTCTGCCTCCCGAGTGTTGGGATTAAAGGCGTGTGCCACCACCGCCCAGCTCACCAAGACTGCTTAAGCCCTGGCTTGATCTTCGGAAAAGTCCTTGACTTTTCCAAGCAGTAGCTTTTGTGATAGTAGCTGAATTCCATTATGTTTTCCTGCGGCTTGCAGCACTGGTCTTCATGGTGAGTTCCAGGCCAACCAGGTACATATAGCAAGAGCCTTCCTCAATAATAATAATAATAATAATAATAATAATAATATTTTATTTCTGTAATCAAATGCAAATGGCAGCACAGCTTACCAGAACCTATGAGATAATGCTAAGGCAGTTTGGAAAGTTCACAGTTTTAGAATTCTCAGTGCTTAGACTAAGAAGTTTAAAAGGGAGGGTGAGACGGCTCGGCTGGTACAGGCGCTTGCTGCCAAGCCTGACTCCTGAGCTTGCTCACTAGGGCCTGTATGGAAGCAGAGAACAAACTCACACAAGCTGTTCTCCGGCCTCTGCACTCCCCCTTCACATGGGCTCCCTCAAATACATTCACTTACAAACTCAGGAAGATCTCACATCAGTAACTTCATGAGTCCCAAGGTCCTACAGAAACAGCCCAGTCCCAAATGTAGTACATGAGAAGGGGCTACGTAGCTCAGGCTGGCCTCACACTCTCAGTAAATCTCCTGCCTCATCTGTCCAAGTTCTGGGATTATAGACTTGAGCCACCACGCCTGGCGTATTTACTTATTTATATATTGTTTGGGGTTTTGAAATGAGGTCTGAGTTGGTGAGACGGCCCGAAAACCTGAGCTCGAACAACCCTACTACCTTCGCCTCCGGGATAACTTGACCGCAGGCACAAACACGTTTAGGACTAGCAATATGCTCAGTTAGCAGAGACACTTTTTCACAGGCCTCATGACCTGTATTCAATTCCCTGGAAACTGACTCCCTCCCAGGAGTTGCCTGCCCTCCTACCTCCACACACCTGCACCCACAAAGTAAATGAAAGAAATCATTTCTCCTCAAAAGATGATTTTTTTAATTGGTAGCACGGTGGCACACACCTGTGAACCCAGCACTGTGGAGGTAAGGGGAAACAGTGGGTAGAGACAGGAGGACCAGTTCAAAGCCAGGTAATTTTATTTACTTACTTATTAATAGGGTCTCTCCAGTAATCCAGTCTGACCTCCAACTTGAAGTCCCAATAGCCTCAGCATGCCAAGTGTTGGAAGTGAGGTACATCTACCTACTTCCTAGGTTTTCGTTGTGTTAGGTAAGGTCTCCTGTATTAGAGACGGGCCTCTAATGCATTATGTCACCAAAGATGACCTTGAACTTTTCTAATCCTCCTTCGTCCACTTTCCAAGGCTGGGATGCAAGCATCAGCCACCACCCTGTCTCAGTCATCTCCAGCCCATGATATGTATTTTCAAGCCTCACAGTTTCAGCTCTCCAACTTTTGATCCTAGGTAAACCCTTTTCTTTCCCTTTTGTTGGTGGGTTTTGTTTGTTTGTTTTCGAGACAGGGTTTCTCTGTGTAGTTTTAGTGCCTGTCCTGGATCTCACTCTGTAGACCAGGCTGGCATCGAACTCACAGAGATCCGCCTGGCTCTGCCTCCCCCGAAGTGCTGGGATTAAAGGTGTGCGCCACCACTGCCCTGGCACAACCCTTTTATTTCTTAAAATAAAGGGGAGGGGGCGCTGGAAATAACTTGACAGTTCAGAGAACTTGCTGCTCTTGCAGAGGACCCGTTGGCTCCCAGCACCCACATGGCAGCTCCCAAAGGTCTGTAACTCCAGTTCCCAGGGGGATGCAATGCCCTCGTCTGACCTTTGTGGGCACTGCACACATGTGGCGCACATACATATATGCAGGTAAAACACTTATAGACATAAAATAAAAATAAATCTTTCATGTTTGCTGTATATTAGAAGCTAAAACTCAGGGCTGGAGGGATAGCTCAGCTGTTAAGAGCACTGACTGCTCTTCCGGAGGATTTGGGTTCAATTCCCAAACCCCACATGGCAGCTCACAACTGTCTGTAACCCCAGGATCCAATACCTCACACAGACATACATGCAGGCAAAACACCAATGCACACAAAATACAGATAAATAAATAAATAAATAAATAAATAAATAAATAAATAAATGAATGAATGAATGAATGAATGAATAAATGAATAAAAGAAGTGATTAGAACTGACCGTAACATCAGTGCTCATGAGGCAGATAGATGCTAGGCTGCTCTTTCAGAGGACCCATTCAGATCCCCAGCACACAGGAGGCAGCTCACAAATGTCTGTTAATTCCAGTTCCAGAGTAACCAGCACCCTCTTCTGGCCTCCTTTGGCACCAAGCGCGCACACACACACACACACTTAACATACAAGCAGGTAAAACATGCACATAAATTACGTTAAAAGAAATAATAAAACACAAAAAACCAAACCCCTCTGGACACACAGCTCAGTCTCAGATACTTGAGAAGCTGAGGCAGAACTGCTTCACTGCAGCAGTTCAAGGTTGGATATGTCACATAACAAAAACTCACACCATAGACACACACCCCAGCCCCACTAACCTGTCAATATAAAACTTATTCGATGGGCAGTGGTGGCACACACCTTTGATGCTAGCACTCAGGAGACACAGGCAGGTGAATCGCTCTGTGGACAGTCAAGGCTACACAGAGAAACCTTCTCGAAATACAAAACAAAACTGACTTGTGGCAATCTTTGCCTCCTAAGAAAATATTTTCTTAGCCAAGTATGATGGCACACACCTTTGATCCCAGCACCCCAGAGGCTGGAGGATCAGGAATTCAACTCCAGCTTCAGCTACTCTTGTGCTGCCATTTTCTCTGAATTCAAACAGTTCATTCTGGAGGAGGTTTCTTTTTTGTTTGTTTGTTTTTGTTTTTTTTTTCCAAGACAAGGTTTCTCTATATAACAATCCTGGCTGTCCTGGAACTTGCTCTATAGACCAGGCTGGCCTCAAACTCACAGAGATCCACCTGCCTCTCCCTCCCCAGTGCTGGAACTAAAGGCGTGTGCCACCACTGCCTGCTGGAGGAGGTTTCTTAACAAGGCTTGGCAATAAGCAACTGCTAAGTCTCTGGAAGTTCCTGCAATTTACAGGACCCAAAGTACCTGCCACACATAGAGGTGAGAGCAGATTCCTGGTACCCTTATAAAAGTCGGAGGAAGCTTATAACCCCAGTGCTGGAGGGCAAAGACAAGCAGATCCTGGGAGCTCCTAGCTAGTCTACCAGAAACAGGAAGTTCTGGGATATAACAAGCCTGAACAGCAGGAATGAGGATATTCTAAAAGAAAAATATCTGCCCCTTTGGCCAGCAGATTATTGAAAGGATATATGGCAAGAAATTGCAGTTTCCCTTAGAATCATGTTCGGGGAAGAAAGGCTGAAGCTTGGGGCCAGCCATGGGGCTTTGTCTTCTGTTAATGACCATTGTAATTTACCATACTACCCTGAAGGATAGATTTGAGCTGAAACAATGATCAACAGCCAGTGATGGGCAGAACCACACCTTGTTTCTTCCTGTGATGTGTAACTCTGGCCTTCTACTTAACCCTAAAATTCACATTCAGGACTCTGAAGAGAAACTTGGGATGTGTATGCAGGATCTTTGTGCCACTATTCACCAATGTGGTCATACTGAATAAATCTTTTTTCTACTTTTCACTATTAACTTGTCTCTTTAATTGGCTCCAATGTGGACTCTGTTTCAAAACATAAGATGGAAAGGCCACCAAGATGGGTCAGCTGGGAAAGAAAGGGGAAAAAAAAAAAAGACTGAACATGATGGCGCACACCTTTAATCCCATCACTGGGAGGCAGAGGCAGGTGGATTTCTGTGAGTTTGAGTCCACCCTGGTCTACAGAGTGAGTTCCAGGACAGCTAGGACTATATAATAAGATCCCTGTCTCAAAAAGAAAATTTTAAAAAAAAGAAGAGATGGATGAAGCAAGGGGATAAAGCGAGGCCTGGTAGTAGAAGCCTATAATTATAGATACCAGAGAAACTGAGGCATAAGGCTAACTGCCTTACAACTTGCTGTGTAGATCAAATTGGTGTTGAACCTGCAGTGAGTCTCCTGCCTCTGCTGGAATTATAGACGTGCACCACCACACCTAATAAAGACTAACTTTTTGAAAAGCTTTATGTATGAGTGTGTGCCTATGTGTGGCTACATGCACATAAATGCAGGTGTTCACCGAGGTTAAGAGCATCAGACCTCCCCTGGAGCTGAAGTTACAGGCAGTTATAAGGCACACAACATAGATGCTAGGAACCAAAACTCAAGACATTTGTGAGAGCAGCATATATTCAACCTCTGGGCCATTTCTCAAGCCCAAGACTAACGGTTTTTTTGACCATCTTAACACCTGTAGATTATGTGAACAATAACAGAATACATATGCTCTTTAAAAAAGTGTTGTTATGTGTATGAGTATTCTGCCTGTATATATGTGCCCCATGTGTATGTAGTAGGGGGAGGGGAGTACTGGCAGGCAGTGGTAGTGCATGCCTTTAATCCCGGCACTCAGGAAGCAAAGGCAGGTGGATCTCTGTGAGTTCCAGGACAGCTGGGGCTACACAGAGGAAAAAAAAAAAATTACAAGTCCAAATCTATAACCCCAGCACTTGTGACATAGAGGCAGGAGTTACAGGTTCAAGGGCACACTCAGCTACACAGGGGGCTGGAGGTGAGCCTCGGACATACAAGACAAGGTCAAACAACCAAAAGTCAAACTACACATCAAGTGAGCAAAATAAATTATAAAGATATGACCAAAAAAAAAAAAAAAAGGTTCTCCAGGAATCCAAAGCCAAAAGATGGTGTGTGTGTGTGTGTGTGTTGAAGATTTAATGTTATTACTAACCAGAAAAAAATTAGATACCATATACATTAAAAGGATAACTTAAGCCGGGTAGTAGTGGCATACAATTTTAATTCCAGCACTCGGGAGGCAGAGGAAGGTGGATCTCTGTGAGTTCGATCTGGTCTACACAGCAAAACCCTGTCTCAAAAAACCAAAAATAAATAATTTTTAAAAAAATGATAATTGAAAACTCTATGAAGATTCCATTCCAATAAATTTGATAAATTGAACAGAGAATAAATTCCTTGATAGATGTTACCAAAGCCAGCAATCTGTTTAAGTCCTGGGAATGTCATCTTCCTCTTTTGTTTGTTTTTATTTGTTATGACACAAACCTGTAATTCTAGCATTTGTATTCTCTGTGGAGCCCAGGCTGTCCTGGAACTCGCTCTGTGTAGACCAGGCTGGCTCTGCCTCCTGACTGCCACCACCGCCCATGAATTAACCCTTTTATAAATATGGAGGCATACAAAGAGCTCTAGAACACCCCAAGAAATAGATATGCATATGAGCTAAAACCTTAGAGCGTTGAGGAGATTGCCCAGTTGGTAAAATGCTTGCCTTAAAAGCACAAGGGCAAGGCATTCAATCCCCAGAAGCCAGGCAAAAAGAAGCTGGGTCCAGTGTCATTTACTTGTAATTGTAATCCTAGTGCTGAGGACCTGGTAAGACTCACTCACACTCACTCACTCTCTCTCTCTCTCAGCAGGATGTTATGACACAAACCTGTAATTCCAGCAGTTGTATGAGACAGGAGGATTGTTGGGAATGCAAGGCCAGCATGAACTACTACTTAGTGAGTTCCAGACCAGCCTGATCTAGGGTAGGATCTTTTTACTAAAACAAAGTAAAAAGCGGGGCTAAGAGATGGCGCCGAGTTTAAGAGGGCACGCCGCTCTCCAGAGGACCACGGTTCATTCCCAGCACCCACATCTGCCCGCAACTCCAGAGGGAGAATCGACCTACTCTCCTGGGCTGAGGGCACCTGCACTCACGGGCATGTGCACACGCGGGAGCTGGGAACCCAACCCACGTAACCGCTGAGCCACCTCACCAGCCCTATACCCACACTTCCAAATAAAGTAGGGGCCCAGAAAGACAAAGGTACCTAACACCTGAGCCTGACCCCCAAAATCCTCATAGTGCAAGGAGAGAACCTATTACCACCAAGCTGTCCTCTGATCTCCACATACATGCACAAAGTTTTTAAAAAATGGAGAAAACAAGTAACTTCTGACAGGCGGGAGAATACAAAACTGATATACAAAAGTCCATTTTATGTATGTGCAAATACAACTCAATTTTTACAGGAACCTTTGAAACCAGAGGGCCGAGCTACATGCTTTTAAATCCAACAGAGGCTCGAGGGTCTCTGTGAGTTCAAGGGGAAAAAATGAAAAGAACTGGCCATGTTGGCAGGCGACTGCAATCCCACCGCTCAGGAGACTGAGGTAGAACTGAGTTTGAAGCCAGTCTGGGATACACAGGGACTGTCTCTGTCTGTCTCTGTCTGTCTCTGTCTCTCTCTCTCTCTCTCTCTCACACACACACACACACACACACTTTCCGAGAGCTGGGTGTACCTCAGCGGAAAAGCAGACTACCAAGGGAGGCTTAGAGGTTCACCTTAACATCCAAAAAAAAAAAAAAAAAAAAAACCCAACCCAAAGCAGGCTGCTTCCTTCCCTCCGGGGATGCCGGGGATACCAACCCAAGTGCCACCCAAGTGACCCCAGGTGGCACTCAGCACCCGAGGTCAGCACACCCGACCTCAGGACTTCAATTCCCACCTTCTCTACACGGTTAATGGAGCGGGTGGGTGGGCAGCTGAGGAGGGGGAGCTGAGGAGAGGGGAGCTGAGGAGAGGGCTGAGGAGAGGGGCTGAGGAGAGGGCTGAGGAGAGGGGCTGAGGAGAGGGGAGCTGAGGAGAGGGGCTGAGGAGAGGGGAGCTGAGGAGAGGGGAGCTGAGGAGAGGGGAGCTGAGGAGAGGGGCTGAGGAGAGGGGCTGAGGAGAGGGAGCTGAGGAGAGGGCTGAGGAGAGGGGCTGAGGAGAGGGAGCTGAGGAGAGGGCTGAGGAGAGGGGCTGAGGAGAGGGAGCTGAGGAGAGGGGCTGAGGAGAGGGGAGCTGAGGAGAGGGCTGAGGAGAGGGGCTGAGGAGAGGGAGCTGAGGAGAGGGGCTAGGGAGAGGGCTGAGGAGAGGGGCTGAGGAGAGGGGCTAGGGAGAGGGCTGAGGAGAGGGGCTGAGGAGAGGGGCTGAGGAGAGGGAGCTGAGGAGAGGGCTGAGGAGAGGGGCTGAGGAGAGGGAGCTGAGGAGAGGGGCTGAGGAGAGGGGAGCTGAGGAGAGGGCTGAGGAGAGGGGCTGAGGAGAGGGAGCTGAGGAGAGGGGCTAGGGAGAGGGCTGAGGAGGGGGCTGAGGAGAGGGGAGCTGAGGAGAGGGCTGAGGAGAGGGGAGCTGAGGAGAGGGGCTGAGGAGAGGGGAGCTGAGGAGAGGGGAGCTGAGGAGAGGGGCTGAGGAGAGGGCTGAGGAGAGGGGCTGAGGAGAGGGGCTGAGGAGAGGGGCTGAGGAGAGGGCTGAGGAGAGGGGAGCTGAGGAGAGGGGCTGAGGAGAGGGGCTGAGGAGAGGGCTGAGGAGAGGGGCTGAGGAGAGGGCTGAGGAGGGGGAGCTGAGGAGAGGGGCTGAGAAGAGGGCTGAGGCGTGAGAAGGGCTGAAGGGGCTGAGGGGAGGGTGGAGGAGCTAAGGAAAAGGGCTGAAGGGGCTGGCTGGGTGGGGGTCTGAGGGGCGAGTCTGAGGAGAGGGGGGGGTCTGAGGAGAGGAGCTGGGGGGGTCCGAGGGGAGCAAGGCTCTGAGGAGACCCACGGGGCGGGGTTCTGAGGAGAGGAGCTGGGGGGGACGGTCTGAGGAGACCCCCGGGCGGCGGTCCACGCCGCGGGCCCTCGGGGTGGGAGCGGCTCGAATTCCCGCGCCGTGGTGGGCGGCGGCGGGCGCGGCGAGCACGGAGCCCGGCCGGGCCTGCTCGCGAGCTCCGGGAGCCGTCGCGGCCGGCCGGCCGCCCGCCGGGAGGAGGAGGCGGCCCGACCACTCACCTGCACCACGCCGCGGCCCCGCGCGTCCTCCTGGGCGTCGGGCAGGACGAGGACCCGCGGCCACAGCAACGGGTGCAAGAAGTGGACCATGGCGCCCCGCCCGCGCGAGCCCCGCCGCCGGCGTCGCGCCACGGCGCACTCGCCGAGCGCAGGGACGGGCGCAGGGCGTCCGAAGCGCTCGCCCTCCAGCCCGCCCGCCGGCTCGCCCGCTCGCCCGCCCGCCGCGACCCCGCCCCCGGCCGCGCGGCCAATGGCTAGCTAGGCTCGGCCACCCAACTCCTATCCACCCCACGGAGGCCCACGTCCTCAGACCCGTGCCGGGGAGGCCCTTCCCACAGCAGCGCTGCGCACTTTGATTCTTTTTTTTTATTCTTCGAGACAGGGTTTCTCTGAGTGTGTGTGTGTGTGTGTGTGTGTGTGTGTGTGTGTGTGTGTGTGTGTGTGTGTGTGTGTGTGTGTGTGTGTGTGTGTGGAGTCCCGGCTGTCCTGGAACTGGAACTCACTATGTAGACCAGGCTGGCCTTGAATTTAGCAATCCACCTGCCTCCGTCTGCTGAGTGCGGAGATTAAAGGAGTGTGCCGCCGCCGCCGCCGCCCTTCTTGAAGTTTTTGTTTGTTTTTGGTGTTGGGGGCATGTTAGAGGTGGAACCTAGAGCTTTACACATTATAAGGCAAGAACTCTACCTGGCCCCGGATTTTTAAATGCTTTAGTAAATTAAAGGGAACTTTCGGAGGCCTTGCCCCTGGAAGTAAGACACCAGTCACGTTTCCACTCCTGGCTGTGAATTATACAAAATACTTGTAGGGGCTGCTGACCTGGATCAGCGGGGGGGAAAGCGCGTGCAAGGCCGGACGACCTGAGTTCCATCTCCGGAACCCACACGACGGTGGAAGGGACAACCCACCCCAGGCACACGTGACACGCGCATACAATAACATTCCAAAAACGAAACAGCACAGACCTTTATTTTACCTATTTTGCTTTTGTTTTTGTTTTGCTTTGTTTTTTTCGAGATAGTCCCTCCGTGTAACAGCCCGAACTCACAGAGATGCGCCTACCTCCGCCTCCCAATAAAAGGCAAGCGCCACCGCTGCCCGGCCCAGCACGGAGCACGGATCTTTATACACGCCTTGGAGAAGTGGAGTCAGGAGGGTCAGAAGTTCAAGGTCATCCTCCAAAAAGTAGTTTGAAGCTAGCCTCCGCTACGTGCATATATGATTTCCGGGATCCATGCCAAATCAGGCAGGGGATCAAGTCAAGACAGCATAAGATAACGTATGTAAAATACTATCCAAGGTCAGGCACCTCCCAGACCCCTTATAGCTAAAGGGATTCAAATGTTAAAATTACTTTTCAAGAACAAATGACCAGGAAATACTTGCCCCCCACAGTCTCTTTTCTTTTTCAGCCGAAGATGACCTTGAACGGATTCTCCTACTTCCCAGGGTGGAAGGTGAGCTCAACACCCTACCCCATCGTTCTTTAATCTATTTCTAAAAATGAATCAGGGACGAAAATTCGGTACCATCCCCGAGGTCCTCGGTTTTCCTGCACGGAGGTGAAGAACCCAGAGAGGACACGCGTGAGACTGGCTGGGAGGTGCAGACCCACAGCCGCAGCCCTCCGCAGGCAGAATCTGCAGAATCAACACCAGTTCCAGGCCAGCCTAGTGTGTTGGGGAGTCCAGCCCAGAGTATTTATAAAAAAAAAAAAAATTACAGGCAAGACCCCGCCTCCCCCAAGACAAGCGCCTGTAATCCCGGCACTCTTCTCCCCTCCCAGTTTTGATAACACCGACAATAAAAGAGGTAGAACTGAGTATTTGTGTGGGAACCTTTCCAGACTAGAAGGTAAAAATCGAGATAATTCTGCAAACGACTTCTTCTAAAAGACTGAAGAATGTGCTGATGTCCCTTCTAGTCCTGTGTCTACTTCCCTTACCCCTGCCCCCACAGCACGCCCCAGCCCTCCGTTTGTCCGAGGGTGGCTTAGCTGCCGCCGTCCCTAAATTTACCCTCACTGCTAGCTGGGATGTAGGGGAATAGCCGCTAGGTTTCAAAAGTCACTCATCACACTGCAGCAGCAGGATTTGGAGATGAGAACAACCTACAGAAGAAACTGAAAATCCGAAGAGCCAAGATGTAGGGGTTTTAGCTGGAGGTGGCGGCACGCCTTTAATCCCAGCACTTAAGAGAGAGGCAGAGGCAGGTTGACCTCTGAGTTCTAGGCTACCTAGGGCCATGTAGTGATAACCTGTTTTAAAATACACACACACACACACACACACACACACACACACACACACACACATACGCAACAATCTAAAAATCTCTCTTTTGTTTTTTTTTCTTGTTGTTTGTTTGTTTGTTTTTTGAGACAGGATATCTGTGTAACCCTGGCTCTCCTGGAATTCACTATATAGACCAAGCGGGCCTTGAACTCTCAGAGACCCATACCACCATGCCCATCTCGCAAAAAGAGTTCTAAATATTTATTTATTATATTTTATGTTTATGTGTGTGTGCCTGACCATGACTGACCAGTTAAAGCAGGCTCTCTTTTAAAGGTCCACTCAGTTGGGATTTTAGGGAGCAGCCCAGGCTACTTTTTTAAGGTCCTTTTATGGGGAAAAAGCCCACGAGGTTAATAGAAAATAGCTGCACAGACATTGACAGGGGTGAGGTGAATGGCGGTTAGAAAAAAATACAATGAAGAAGCAAGAATGCATCGTGGAATTGGGGAGTCATACATCACAGGGGTGGTGGGCACAGGCATAGGTCAAAGTATCCCTGAAAACATTTTTCAAGGCAAGGGGAAGCAAGGGGCAGTTATACATCATGGGGTCACAGGTTCAGTGCAGGTTCAAAAACATGTTTTGCAAGGCACATCAAGTCTAAGAAACAGAAACTTATTCCTAAGTAGAAATAGAAACCTCTGCCGGGCGGTGGTGGCGCACGCCTTTAATCCCAGCACTCGGGAGGCAGAGCCAGGCGGATCTCTGTGAGTTCAAGGCCAGCCTGGGCTACCAAGTGAGTTCCAGGAAAAGGCGCAAAACTACACAGAGAAACTCTGTCTCGAAAAACCAAAAAAAAAAAAAAAAGAAATAGAAACCTGTCCGTGTAGAGTGTGGGGACCCAACTAACAGCAGTGTGGGGACCCAGCAGCAGTGTGGGACCTAACAGCAGTGTGGGGACCCAACAGCAGTGTGGGGACCCAGCAGCAGTGTGGGGACCTAACAGCAGTGTGGGGACCCAACAGCAGTGTGGGGACCTAACAGCAGTGTGGCTCCTGTTCCAAAGTGAAGCCAGCATGGCTTCCGCTCAGGTTTCACAGCAACACATGCATACAGGAATCCTTAGGGGTCAGAAGATGTGTGGGAGCCCCTGAAGCTGGAGTTGTAAGTGGTTATGGCCGTTTGGGTGCTAGGAACCAAACCTCTGCAAGATTGATCCTCTGCAAGAGCATGAAGTGCTTTTAACCACGGAGCCCTCTCTCCAGCCCCTATGAGAATATTTTCATTTCTATCCTAGGAAGGGAAGGAGCACATGCCTGTGTAGAGCTAAGATGTGAGTGGAAATGCTCTCAGTTTCAATAACTCCTGAGGAAAAACCTGTTGTCTACAGAGGCTGATGGACTGATTGGAATTCAGTGCTGGGAAGAGATCAGAATGTTGCAGGCCCAGAGGCTATTACCTCATCTTGTGCTAGTTCTTGGTCTCTGCAACAGACATTCCTTGCTCACTTGTGTCTGCAACAACATCTTGTGACTAATAGAGAGAAACCTTTCGGAATCTGGGAACAGACCACTAGCTTCCGCCAACCCCAACTAAGGATGTCATCAGATAGTATCGCGGTCCCATAGAAAAGCTTCTCCTCTCTCGCTGTAACTGCTTCTCAGGTGTACCCACCAATGTATTTTATTTTATTTTTGTCCTGGTTAGGGTTACTAGTGCTGTGATGAAACGACATGGCCAAAGAAATTTGGGGAAGAAAGGATTTATTTGGCTTACAGTTCCACAGCGTGCATGATTCATTATCGAGGGAAATCAGGACAGGAAATCAACAGGGCAGGAACCTGGAGGGGTGCTGTTTACTGGCTTGCTCAACCTGCTTTCTTACAGAATTCAAGACCACCAGGCCTGGGATGGCACCACCCATAGTGAGCAGGACCCTCCCGCATTGATCACTAAGAAAACACCGTGTTACACAGAGAAACCCTGTCTCAAAAAACCCTAAATAAATAAATAAATAAATAAAATAAAATAAAAAGAAAATGCCTTGCAGCTGGATCTTATGGAGGCATTTTTCTTAGTTGAGGTTCCTTTCTTTCAGATAACTGTAGCTTGTGACAAGTTGACATAAAACTCGAGGTTGGCCCAGTGATTAAGAGCACTTGCTCTAGCTAAAGGACCCAGGTTCCATCCCCAGCACCCACAGGGAGGCTTGCCTCTTCCTTCGGCATCAGGCATGCATGTGGTGCACAGACAGACGTACAGACAAAGTACTTACATACAGAAAATAAATAAGTCTAAAAAAATAAAAACTAGCCAGCACAATTGCTAAAAATTATTTTATTATGTGTTATGTGTTTTGCCTGCATGTATATATGTATATGTCCACATGCATGCCTGGTGCCTGCAGAGGTCAGAAGAGGGTGTTCTGTCTCCTGGAAGTGGATTTATAAATGGTGTAAGCCACCATGTGAGTGCTGGGAATCGAACCCTAGTCATCTGGAAGAGCAGCCAATGCTTTCAACAACTGAATCAACTTTCCAGTCCCACACTAATGTATTTTAAACTCGCCTTGATGTATGATTTTCTTTGTTCTGTAAAACCATAAAATTTCGTAAACATTGACTAACTTAAATCTGTGTTCCTGGGCCCTGTCACTCAAAATGACTCCCAGAATAAACTCTTTCTTATTCTCTTTAAGATGAGAGCTGTTTTTTGTTTTTTTTCATAGACACCTAGAAATGACTGTTCTTTTAGAAAAATACGGAAAGGTAACGGCTATTTTGAATAAACTACTAGCTTTGTTTTCTTGACACAACTGATCATCTAGGTAAGAGACAGGGTCTATGTAGCCCAGGC